TAAAACTTCGCCATTGTTACTCTTGTTTAAGGATAATAAACGTGTTCTTTGTTTTTTAAAGTAAATAAAATAATAAGTAATAAGACATGTGTTAAATATAATTGGACAAAATCAGAAAATGAGGACCCAAGTATTAAAGTAACAAATAAATATGGCAACCTTTTTTTTTTTGTGAAGAAAAGTTTTTTTTTTTTTGGACGTCCACACACATGCGGTTTTTTTGGGGGGGGGGGGGGGTGAATTGGATACTCTCGCTGTCAACGCCATGGCATACTCACAACCTTAAGCCGGAAGGACTTACACATGACACCTAATTGCTAGTTGCTACAAGTATTTAATTTACGTATGAGTTTACATATTGAACACCAACGAGAAGTACTGGCAACAAGAATCAAACTTGAATTGAAGGTTAGCTGCAAGTATATCTTTATCAACTCAACCAACTCTTGTTGACAAATAAATATGGCAACTTAGATTGTAAGGACTAGGGAAAATTTATACACAATTTTGGGTGTGGTCAGTGTAACCCTACACGTAACAAACTTAAGAAAGTTTGTGCATTTGCATCAAACCTTTGCAGCTGTGCTAGACCTAGAGTTATTAGGTAACAAAAAACCGTTTCTACAAGTTAATAATAATATTTAAATACATCTTCACGACCTAAAGTAGTTTTAATCTTCTTAAACTGGTTTTGTTGTCTTGGATTTAGCTTGAATACGATAAACCATAGTATTGAAGAAATGCTGAATGAAGAGATTGGTACCCCCTTGCATATTTTTATGTCTAAATGAAGGTAGAAGATAGAAATTTAAGAGCGAGTACAAATCAAGCTAATTTGTTAAACTTGCTACAAAAACCCGAATTTTGTCGCTCTTTTCTCTAATATTTTCTTTTCTTGTTATATTAATAATCTGAACACACATTCATACTAACAAAGATATGCAACTCAACATGGTTTTAGACAAGCAAAAATAAGAGGAGGGACACTTCAAAATTCAATAACATTTTGTAAGAGATTAATACTAAAAGTTTCAAATAAAAAGTTTGAGAGGGGGTGAGTGCTTCGTGGCCCTACGCTCCCTTTATCCCTAATGCTCGTCCAATATATTGAGTTATCCAACCACTTAATATTACGGTGCAGTAGTATTTCTTTTCACTTGTAAGTGAGAGTTCTGAGGTTCAATTTTTGCCAAAGGTGAATTTGAACAACATTATTGCTGGCCTATTACTAGACTAAGCTCATCATCTCCTTTTTAGTGTAAATATTATTGATTGTTACAAAATAAATATTGAATCCAATTCAAATTAATTTTTAATATTGTTAGAGACATTAATTCGGTCATTAATGTAATGGAAGTTTAGGCATATGCCATATACGATTTTGCAATTCATATGCGCAAGATGGATGAGAGATTTTTAGTATTCAAAAATACGGTCCGATATTTAAATTTAATAATATTATTTGTCGGAAACACGGCTCCATGAAACAATAACCGCACATGCGGTGATAATCTGGTGTAGAAGCAGTGTAAGTCATAAGTGCTGGGTTCGCCAATTAGGCCCACTAACCGTGCAGCATTTAATGGAGCCTATGGAGGGTTAACAAAATACTTCTGATAGGTTGAACAATCTCTGCTGGACTGGATTAGGCTATTAGATAAGGTCATAAGTATTGTGGGGCTCACCGCTGTTATTGATCTTTTATTTTACTTCCGTACAATTTTATTTCATTGTTTTTTTCGAATGCAGGGTAGGTGGACTAGGTAAGACAACGAGTCACACATATATATTATTTTGTTTTTTTTTTAGGATACAAAACATTGTCCGCAATGGTTCTCAAGTGAACGGTTGATTGTACTTCTCCCTGACGTTAAGTGTACCAAAATATTAATAAAATAAATGAAGATGATAAAAGTGTTTCTTTCAATTTTATTTGTTTATTTTACGTTGCATAAAATAAAACGTAATAATTATAAATGTTTTAGTATGTATGATTTGATTTCTCACGTGTTACGTTATTTCATTTCATCTTTTAAATTATAATTTGGAACACGCATTGATATATAAAGTGTCATAATAAAAGTGGTCGAAATTTTCTTAAGTATCAAATCATTTGTAGTATGATATTTAATGTATCGAATCGTGCTCGATACACTAAAAAATTTCTTGTTGGTGTGATCTTCCCACTTGAATTAAATGCACATCTGAGCAGTTGTCATTTCACTATCACATGATTCATAAGCCTGTAATACAAAATGTCATTGTCCTTATTCATCAATATTTTGCAACAACTTTGATTTCTTTTCTTCCTCCTTTTTTTTTTTTTTTTGTTTGTTTGAAAACTAGGAATCCACATTCCAGGGCAAAGAAGCCAAACAGGGACAAGAAAGCTTACCAAGAGGCAAACACCAAGAAAGACCAAACAAGACCAAGGCAGCGAGCAGGGATACAAGCATCATACGCTTCCACCAAGTAAAAGTGTCACCCCAAACACCACCACAACAAAGCTAATGAGGACACGGAAGACTATCATTACACAAGACATGAACTAACGAAGATGAGGGTCTATCGACCCAAACAAAATCGCACATATCCGTAAGACCAGCCGATGCAAGAACATCTGCTGCACAATTGGCTGATCTTGGCACCCAAGACCAACAACAGACCTGGAAAGCCCCACTCAACCATCGGACCCTTGCCAAGATGGGGAAAGCCTCCCAACTGCCATTATCAATAGGACCGCTGAGATAAGATATCGCTTCAAGAGAATTAGATTCAAAAATAACAGAACTAACACCCAATGAGACACCCAACTCGCAACCCCGTAACAACGCCAGAGGCCTCATTCGTCATCACAATAAGTTGTGGTTGTGGAAGGTAGAAATCTCTAGCATTTAAAGTGGGACAATGGCGATAGAAATTTGTTACATTGACAAAATTTAAGACCGTTCCATTTTCACATATAGATCTGGATGAGAAGAGAAGAAGAGAGCCCCATTTTTCTCTCTTTTCTTTAAAAAAAATGTATCTAGATTTATCATTTACAAATACAACTACCTTGTTTAACCATGTACAGTACATCTTATGGTAGCTAATTATTTGTGTTAAAATATTACTATGCGGTGGTCTAGTTATTGGTGACGAATTTCAGACCTGTGTTTTATATGACACATCATGGGTTCGAATCATAGCAGTGGTGGTCAGGGAGAAGCTGAAATGCCTTAGTGAATCTTCTTGGCCTAAAAAAATGTGGACTAACGTAACAAAGCCACCAACTAGTCATTTTTAAAGAAAATATATTTGTGTTAACTATGTACGAATTGTTAATATTTTGCAATGCCTTCAATCATGCGAAAGTAACCAAGTGATTGATTATCTTAGTGGTTAAAGTCTTCTCTTTAATTTGATGTGCCTGAATTCAAACCCTCCCCCTATTTCTCTTAATTTAACGAGCCATTTAACATTGATTTTTTGTTGGGCTAGATATATTTTACACCATCAACGTTAGAAGTCATTTTTAAAATGGGTCACAAACTTTTAGTTTTTGCACATTACACCCCATCCTTTTAAAATGGGTCAATTATTAACAATCAAAGCATGACTCACCCTCCAAACCCACTAACCAGACCACAGAAAACTGGGTTTAGGTCGAAGCTATCCAAATTGTACATCACCGCACCATACAATGATCAAATTGGTGATCTCTATTAATTAAACAAAAAAAAAAAAAAATTGGTGGGTCAGGCCCGTTTGTTCCAAATTATCGGGCTAGCCCAATCTGCTATGATATCCATGTTGGGTTGGGCCTGCGCAAGAGTGAAATTTGCCCTAGTAAATGATTTTGTTTTGGAGGGTGAGCAATAATAATTTTATTTTTTTAATACCAATCAGGTAAATCATTTCTGATAGTTCTTGTTAGTCAGCAAAAGATAACAGAATTACAGAATTCATTAATAAGAGAAAATACAACACAAACAAGTGACATTTTTCAGTGTGCCAATAACACACAGGTACACCAACTATCATAATACAAGTAATTGGATACTTGAAGAAAAAAAAAATTTAATCACTTGTATTATAACACTTGATGCATCGAACCGTATTTCAGACACTGCAAAACTTCTCCAAAAACAACAATACAAGCAAGCAACGACATCATAAACATAAGAAAACTTAATTCAAGTGGGAGTACAAGGTTGTGCAGATTTTTTTTGAATTTCCCAAAGACTCATCCTTCCAGTTCGAAGCGGAGATCTTCTCTGCTGAGACTCGTAAATGGACAACTACTGTTGTCTTAAGCCCACGAAGCTTTTGTTTCAATAGCTCGACTCTCGAGCAAGGGTTGCTTACAACGGCATGTTGTACTGGGGGAGCATGTACGACGGATTTGTTATTGGGATGGATCCCAGCTCAATTAGTAATAACACAACAAGCTCTACAAGTAATAGCACTGGTGATACAAATATTAATTGTTGCTTCATTGGTATGCCTAAAGATGATCTGGTCACTCTCACTACAAGATTTGAATCTCTAGGTGTGTGTAACAGAGCTAGAGGAGGTACGTGTCTGCGAAAGTGCCAGTTAGCTAATAATCGAGCGAATGATCTGAGTGTTCGGGAGTTGATAGATGATGATCAGGTTGACAACTCTGCAGGCAAATGATGTTTGGTAGGCAGCGGTTTCGTATCCAGAATGGTTATGCGAAATGCTTTGACCAACACAGTAGGGGTGCTTGCTTTCGACCTAAATAGTGAAGATATCTTATATCTAGAACTCAATGAACACAATGTCATGTGCAACATTCGTGCAAGAAAGGTAAGTAAGACTAGTAGGTCACTCCGGTTGATTATGCTCCAGTAATAACTCCGCGATGGCTGTCTTCCCATTTGCGCTCCCATGGTGGCTGACACCAGTTATTAGACATAAATCGGGCTCTAGTACTTCGAATCATGTGACTGAAGCAGGTAAGAAGAGGAAAGCCAATGACGAAGACACGAAAGTGAACAACAATCAAAGCGCAGCAGAAGATATGTTGAAGAGAAAAAGGTACGACTTTCATGCGGACAAATGATTTAAGAGTGGAATCTTTGGCAGTACTACTAGTACTAGTACAAGATCAAGTGGAGGAGAGCAGGTAGTTTAGTCGGCAGCCGGCATGGTTACTTGGTCTGCAATTCTGAATCTGATGATTGATTTATAGGTATACCATTGTCTTTTGAATCTTGATCACCTTACACAATGTTATGTGCAAGCTTCTTTTCTAATTATCTAGGCAAAATATTCGATCCTGATCCGACCAATGGTGACAGGTCGCTGGACATTCCTTGGCACCAAAGTTACCTTGATACTGCCATCATCGTCAGCTCCCAAGTCCTCCAGCAAGTCCGAAATCCCAAGATGTAGGCTGGTTTTAACCTTTTTCTTGGACTGTGGCAAAAACACCAAGCTCCCTGCAAACTCGGAGTTGTTAGGTCGACTCAGCGAGTCCTCATCATCGTTCACATGCACGTCGAACTTGAGCACCTTGTCTGCCACAAACTCAATCCCTTCAATCGCCAACACCTCCTCTTCCTCCTCCTTGTCCTTCTTGCTCCTCGACCTCCTCGGCCGCGGCACGATCACGCTCACCACAGAGTCCAAAACTATTGGCAACTCACTACTCTCCACCAAAACTACCTATTGAAAAAAATACAGAATATAATTGCTAAATTTTAATCACTCATGATTCAACAAATTAACTATGCAATTTAATTTATGCATAGAAACATGAAAATTGTTCGAGGCAAATGTTTAACACTCTATTCTGAAGACAGTTCACTACCTTTTTTGATGCCTCTGCCGCGTTTGCTGGCCTTGTTAGGTTATGAGTCCCCAAGGCAAGTCCTCCAAGACCAAGGAGAAGATTTCTCCTATCCAATTTTACCAGACAAGTTTGCGGATCTTGATTAAGGTTTTGGTCACTGTTGATTGTTGTTGCTTTACATGAACCTCTAAGATTTCTGACTAAGGAGATCTGGGATTTGTTTGGGAATATGTGAGGGAGTGAAGGGGCGATGGCGCAAGTGGTAATCTTGGTGTTGGATGATAGTGGAAGAGAAGAAGCCATGGTTTTTGTTTCCTTTTTGTCAAGAGCTATGTATGGATGAACAATTTATGTCATTTGCAGTGTCTAATCACATTTACAGCCACACGTTCTACGTAGCCATTAGTCTAGATAAGGACGAGACTTTTTGTTTTCAGGGCCTACTTTTGACAAAATCGAATCCAGATCTTGCTGGATATCTTTATGAAAATCTTTGAAATTTGTAAATTATGTCCGTTTATTGTATATTGTGTGATTAAAATTTATTTTAAATATTTTTATTTAAAATTAAACATAAATAATACTTGACAAAAACTGACCGCACGATGTACGATAAACGGACACGATTCACTAATTCAAAGATCGTCACCAAAAAAATCCAAAGAGGATCATACTGGGTCAAAATCACACCCACTTAAAAAATTCATTTACTTTTTTTTTTTTTTTTTTTTTAAATACGGCACCCATGTCATGTTAATTTGTTCACTTAAAACATACGTAACGATAGCTTTTTGCATTCGTGTCCTACACCAAGCCACTTGGTTGGATCATGATGCATTGATTCTCGTCATCTTTAGCTTCATTGAGTAAACCTTACTGTAATATGATGAAGAAGAAGAAGTAATGAAGAAGATACCAAAGATAGCTTGGAGAAGAAAGAGAGAGAGAGAGATTTCAATGATTAATACTCAAGAATTTCATTACACTTTCTGTTAGAGATACTTACATACTTATATTCTTTTTTATTACTAAAGCTGATCTCTTAAGCTACCTTATAACTACCTAATCTAACAACCTTTCTTATCTAATGACAAATGGTATCTTATTGACCATTGGATCACTATCACTATCCTCAACCCATTGGACAAGTAACGTTACACAAACAACTATGCTTAAGGATTTCTACTTTTTTCGGCTATAGTTTGTCAAAATCTGCATACTTTAAAGTGCTAAATCTCTCATTTTGCACTACTTTTCTTGTAATCAAAAGAAAATTAAAGCCATGTCATGTTTAAGGCGAAATCTTAAAGTGATCCTAAATTTTAAGAACATTTAGCATTTTCTATAAGTGCTTCTTCAATAAGCACTTCTAACATCACCAAACCGACACTGGATCGTACAAGCAAATTGGGCAGACATCAAAAGCTTAGGCCGGCCCAATCATTAACATGATTATGTTACACCAAAGTTGACTATGATAGCCCAACTTTTTTTTTCTTAAAGTAATGAGTTGTTGAATCTCGATGCAAACGCGATTTCATTTGTTGCCCTATTCGTACTACATTTGCACTGCAAACCAAATTGTACTACATATTAGAAGTAAAAGTACCAGTGAGTACTAAATTCTAGTACTCCAACTTTGATTATATTGCATCAACACCTATAAATACATCATCTCTCTATTACCATCGCAGCAGAAATCAGCTCAGCAACTTTACCACTTTAACTTCAAGTAAGTTTTTCATTTCATCTTTGTTCCGTTTGATTTATTCAATTCAAATGCTAGAAACAAAGAGCAGAGTGCATAGGAGGAAATTTTCATACTCTCGTTTTCTCCTTACGCGCTTCTGTTGTTTTTGTCATTAGTTAATCTGAACATTTTTTGTCAGGAATTGGAGACGATCCAATGCAGTATTATGGTTTGAGTTCATCGTTCCCGTCGATCGAATGAGCCTGCCTGAATTTATGGCATCCACAATCGGCACCAAATTCATCACCGGAGTGCTACTTTCATCACCTTCAGCTTCCAAGTCCTCCAACAAGTCCCTTGTCCTTGAATTCATGTTACCATTCCGATCTCATATATTTTGTTAAGCACATGCAAGCTATGCACAAACAAAACCTGGGACGCCATTTTTTATATCTTGGCACCAAAGTTACCACCCGACTGTTATTGCATTCAACTCATCCTCCAACAAGTTGGTTATCTCTATGCGCAACCTCTTAATTTTCGATACAATTAACATAAAAATCATATAAATAGAAAAAAGTTTGCGTATAGAAATAAATGACTTGCTGTGGGATGAGTTGAAGATGATAGCAGTCTGGTGGTATCTTTGGTGCCAAGGAAAACAAGATGGTCACCTTAATTTTTTTATTCTTGGTATGCATTAGTAAATTTAGTGATAGAAATCAATGTATACTGATGTGAGAATATGGTATTGTTTGACTGAGGGTGAAACTTGAGAAATGAAATAAACATGCAATTATTTGATTCTATCTACTCATTCTCTCATAACTTGTTGATTTTGTGGTATCAATAATGTTCATAGATAGATTCAATTACAATTGACTTTACTTTATGGTAAAAGTGAATGTCAAAATAGCTTCAACCATCAACCATAAGGAACATGACATGTGCAATTCGAATTAGATTATCCTAACATCATATCGATTCTCTGTTATCTAAACATATTGATATTGACACAATATAAGCGACACGTTCTGATTTCAACAGTTGGATTCAAAATTTTCTCAGTGGTAAGAGAATTTAGATTTCGTTTATTTGGGGCGGCAAGGGTTTATTTCTTTTTCTTTTTATTCAATAATTATTTGGACTCCCTTTCACTTGTATTCATGTTCTTCACCAAGAAGTAAATAACTGTAAATAAAAAGAGAAGAAAAAGTCGCACTTAAAAAAGAAAAAAAAGTAAAAAAAGTGGGCGTTTTGTGGACTCTTGATTTGCAACAACGATTGTAATATCAAACGCTTTTATCTTCATTTCGTTTCTCTGTCTCTGTCTGTGTGATTTGTGTCGGGGTTTTAGACGAAATTCGAGCTCGGGAGAAAAAGAGGGGTTTTGGGGGATGTCTTCAACGTTTCCAGCCCATGACAAAAAGTCGGGCAAATGGGCAAGTATTCCCCAAAAGATGGAAAACCCAGCTCCAGCCCATGACAAAAAGCAGGGCAATCTGTGGGCCCAGCAGTGCCGGACTGCCCAATCAGGCAATTGGTGCCCAAACTTGTGCCCGATTGCAACACCAAAATAAATTGTGAGTGCAGAATTTGATTTTACTAATAATTTATCAATTCGTAATCTTCATGCTAAATGAAAGTCCAAATAAAGTTTCCACAACTTAGCAATGAGAATCTCACATGTGCCCAATTAGCGCAAAACCTTGAAATCCATTATAATATTATTACAGGTTTAGGTTTATAATAGGGTTTAGAAAATTTACAATTAGTGTGGAAATTTTGTTAAGTTAATGGTAAGGACAAGATTTTTCTGTGGAGATTAAGCCAAATGTCAACTAGGAACTTGAGTTGAGACTTGAGATTCACCCTCACGTTATTGAAATTCAAAATCTCAAAAGCCGAAGGAAGGACGAAAAGTCTCATGAGATGTGTATGTCATCAACGTTCTACTCGAATCGCAGGAACATGTTTCATTTCCAAATTTCAAATTTGGCGTTAACTGGAACGAGGAGGAAACACACACCGACAGCTTAAGTTATTAGAACCATCAGTTTCTTTTACAGTTAAGCTACGTTGTTAGTTGACTCGAGCAATTTCAGTCGAACTGATGCACATGTTGCTTCATGTATTATCTCTCCCTTGCAGGCCAAGCCACACACTCAAGCCAATTCGAGCTATCTTTCTGTTCTTATTGGCAAGTCAAGCTCTGATAATGGTGGCAAGTCGATGCTTGTGCTGTGGAAAGGCATCGAGACCCAGCGGATCTCGGTCATGGGCAATCATGCTATTCATTACCAGCTGGTAAGTACTCCTCATATAATCCCCTCATTCTCTGAGATCATGCTTGGTTTATAATCTTTACACTTTCAAGATCAACATCTTAATATCGCTTGTTGTCGAAAGACATATACTTTTCTTAAATTTCAATTTCAGACTTCAGATTTACTGGTGTCGAATTGAAAACTTCAGGGTGTTTTTTCTTATTGCTGAGGGATGCCTCTCGCCGGTTCAGTGAGAAATGCATACCGCACGAAGTTCCGGACTGTGTTTATGAACGATAAACTTTCATGTGAGACAATGAAGAAATGAATCTTCGGAGCTGGGGCTGCATTTGTCGTCCTCACAGGCATATCCTCAGAGATTTACTATGTTAGTTATTCCAGGGCTAACAAATCCCCGGCTGCCTATAGCAGAGACACCGGCGTGAGGATGCAGAACCTCTAGAACAGAAACAATTGGAGGGAAGTGAGAGTGATCTTGTATTATCACTTGTAGTTGGTTGACTAATAGCTGCATGCCTATCTTATATATGAGTATGGACTAAGTTAGTTAATTAACAGGCCATATGATTGAATATTTGAAATGCTTGTGATTTATGTATGATATTTGGAGTTTTATGTCTCTTAAAATTTACTAATTTGGAGTTCAGTGTCCAATTACCACTAGTCTCGATCGACGGATGGAACTGGATGAGATTGGAATTGAGTCCAAGTCAGTGTTATAGTCTCACTCCTCCTGTAACTAAGACACAGTACATTGGATTGTTGTCCAGTTCCAGTTCCAGCGTCAAACAACGGCCAAGACAATAGTCCACTAGCCCTCATCAGACATTCGAAAATGGATGGTCCGTTCCAAACCGAGCCGCCAAACTAGTATCTGGCATTTGTCCGGTGCCTCAGTCCATTCCTAGATCAATTTTGCTCCCTCACTTTACAGCACAAGCATTGGACTGGTGCTTTTGGAGCCATCCATCGATGGCAATTTGCTTCATAATCCTAATTATTTTACAGATGGATCCGAGGAAACGTAGGTTTGAAGCATCAAAACATGATCTATTTTTAACAAAAAGAAAAATGTCTCAGAACTGTGGCCCCAAATGCACATGCTAAATCCGTAGTCTTTAGAACTGGGGTGAGTATGAGAATAGGACCACTTCGAAACGATCTGGATTTTAGGGCTCAATCTTACAACTTTATGACAAGGTTCTAAAAGACGCTAGGCGCTAGCCGAGCAGCTGGCTAGGCGCTAGTCGAGCAGCGGCCTGGGGCTTAGCGCCTAGGCGCCTAGATGGACTAGGCAGACTTAAGTAAATCAATTATATTTCATGTAAATAAGTGTTGTTCATACTTAAAAATTATATATTTTCATCATAAACTACAAAATAGAATGCATATTTATTATGAAGTATTGGAACACAATGAAAACATGGGGAATAAGCATATAATGTGCGTTCGTTTAACTATTCAGCAAGTCTCTTATAATTTATTGCAAAAAAAAAAAAAAATACAAAATGAAAGTTATATATTTTCTATCTAAGTGAGTCGCAACCTAAGCGGGTCTGGGCGGGGTAGGCAGGTGCCTCATCAGGTCTAGACACCCTTTCTTAATTTTCAAATGCCTAGGCATTAATCGGGGCAGTGGCTAGCTACCTAGCACCTAGGCGGCGCTAGGCGGGGATTTTTAGAATAGTGCTTTATGAATGATCAAATACACAACACCAGGAAGGGAATAATAAAACAATTAAATAAGGAACAGGTCGTGAATTTTCACTCTCGTTTTCTTCTCGTGCAATTCTTATTCTGTTTTTTTATTCTCTTTTCATTCATTCAAGCCATGTGCTCAAAAAATGAAGAAGTGCACAAAAATCATTAAATATAATTAAAAAAAACATAAAAATTGTGTTATAAAATTACTTTACAACCCAAATTCTGTAGGGACTAGAACCAGTGGCCATAAAATATGGGGAAACAAATCTGTGCAAGCTTATTCAGTTGTCCAAATATACATACATATCTTACAAGAATCTTCCATCATATTCTGTCCTTCGCCCTGCTGTGTAGTAGTTCCCTATTTCCATTCCTATCACAAACCACTCACCAAAATTTCAATAAAAATAAATAAAATAAAATCAATAAACCAATTAGTTCTATATCATTGAACCAAAAAAAAAAACCCTAATATAAACCTTTACATGCATTTATGTGCTTCTTCCATCAGTTTAAAGAAAATCAAAGAGCAATCAAGATAAGAGTTACAAACTTACAAATTAATACATATATAGAATTTTTTCAAACTAAATATCTCGAAGCTGAAACCTAAGGACAAGGACAGCTTCAAACAGTCTACATCACTCTTTAGAAATTACAAGATTGAGAGAGCAAACTACCAGAAATTATATCACCTGAAGATCGCAAAATGTGACAAACTGAAAGTGACACATCAAGAGAACGGGGAGACTGTTTCTGTGTCGTAGATTTCTCACACACACGCAATTCAACTTAATATACCGCTAATGAAGATGGCTAATTCTTTAATTTTATGGTTTCATGTGATCAGAAGTATCATCCCAATGAGGCAAGTTGAGATCAGTAGAAACGAGGGTTTCGATGTCTTCCCAATTCCAGTCGTTCGAGTACACATCCGTGGCGGCGTTACTTGTGGAAGGGCTTTCCAATTGGGCTGCTGAGGAAGAATATTTGGCATGATGCTTGTAATGGTTGGCTCCTCTACGGTGACTTTGAACTGATCTTCGTTGCCAGCGTAGTTATAAACGTTTAAGGATTGCAAAGATGTTGAGATTGAAGAGAAGTTTGTGTCAAAGGAACTTGAAGTAGTAGTACTAATTGAGCTTGAGAAGGGATCAAAGTTTATTAGGTGTCTACTTTGATGAAGAAAAGGCAAAGTAGTAGCACTACTTAAACCTGCTGATGAAAATATGATTGTGTTGTCCAAATTCTGTTGCGGAAGCGAAGATTGGGGACCGATAAGCGCACGATAGAGAGCTTGCGCCGTGGGTTTTTGCTCGTGATGATCCTCGATCATCGCACTGTTTGCGGCGGTTGTGGCAGCTGCTTCCGAGGGAGAATTGTTTGATGACTTTTTGTGGCGCTTGTTTTTGCGGACGCCGCCAACGGGGACGTTTCGCAGAGTCCCACCTTTTGTCCAGTGCCTCTTGCAAGCTCTGCAGAAGTGTCTTGGCTGTGACTTGTTGTAGTTATTGTAGTAGCAAAACTTTGTGTTAATTGATTCACATCTCGGACACTTCAACGGCTCAGATTGCTGCTGCTGATTTTGTTGCTGCTGCCTCCTGACGGCGGTTGGTGGTTTTGGCAGCTGAAACGTCTGAACTTGCAGCAAGCTTGTCTGACTCCAATCCATCCCGTCACTGTTGACCTGCTTAGTACTCAATCCCATCTCCTCAAACCCTCTCAAAACCCGAAACAACGAATCGATTACGAGTAACCCGAATGAAGATGAAGATCAAGGAACAAGTGTTTGATTTTTCTTTTTCTTCTTCTGGTATACTTATATCTAGCCCTTGAAACGCAGACGGCGAAAAGAGAAAGCAGTCTGAAGAAGTTAACGAGTATGAGACTAGCTAGGGTTGTTTATAAGCAAAAGGGTAGCGCGTTGATCGGAGGAAATGAGTGATTCTGGTTTCAGGTGCAATGAAATGCCTAGGAAGCTCCTGAGAAGTGAGCATGTCTAAGTTGAGTCTCCTTATCTCAATAATTTTAATATATATGTATATGTAAGTGTGTGTGTATATGTGTATATAACTATTAATGATATAAGTGTGAGAAGAATATTAAGATATGATGATGGAAGAGGAAAGGTTTTTGTATGGTCGAGGATAGTTGTGATTGATAGATGTGTGGGGTTTGGTACTGGTGGGTGGTGGCAACCCTATAAAATTATGCAAACTTAGGTAACAATCAATAGTACCATACTACCATGCTCTTATATATTCCTTACTCATCACCCCCACAATTTTATAGAAACAAATATTCAAGGACTAAAGTAATATAAGAGAAGAAACAACGTGCAGGAGACAAAGAGAAAGAGAGAGAAAATTACTTAACCTCGAAGGTGAAAGTGGGTTGTTAACATCTGGCTACCTTCAGCACCATTGATAGTGCTTTATACGTTGGCTATGTAAACAGAACATATACAACGGCGTTTGTGCATGCAATGCCATATTGAATAGTTTAACAAGAGTCTATCATAAGATACAGCGGTGTGTGTGATGCATCGTTTTACAAAAAACTAGATTAGAATGTTTGGATTAAATCAAATAAATTCAGCTAACAACTAAAACGGTTATAACATTTTGGTGTTAACAATTATGCTTGTGTATAAGTTTAATTTATCACATTGAGTAACTACATAAAAGGTTTAGACTCAAGCTAAACATGAAATACAAAATATTGTCACATCAATCGATGTATTGCTCTTATTATTATCATGTCGCATCGTCAACTACTATCGTTCCCAAAATTAAGCTCACTAGTCCTAGATGACATTATGTGCGACAATACCATATACAATAATATAATTTGGGAAAATTTGGCAATGAAAAAATATATATATGGACATAAAAAGGAAAAAAGTACACTAGGATCCATGGACTAGCTAGCTCGACTTGTTGGGGGATCAAATTTTGTAGAGGGGTGGCGGGTAGACCCAATTTTGCTGGGACAAATTGCACAGTCGAGCATCACGTGGTCACAAGTGGGGCATTTGTATTACAATATTTGGAGGGTTTTGATGACCCTGTGGCCCTATATACATGTGATTACATGTTACAGGTTGGCCTTATGTGTTCTAATCACATCCATGCACCATGCAAATATGTGCAATGTAGCTACAATGAAGGGTATGTGGTCTTTGCAAAGGGAAATAGTTAATCTATAAACCTAGATTCTAATTTCTGTGCATCTCTGTTTTTTATTTATTCTTTATTTATTTTATTATATGGTCATACATAAATATGCATATGCAGAGAAGAAAATGAGTGTGTAATAATAATTTTTTATGCAAATTGTGTTCAAGAACAGTTGTCGTCTATGATATATTTAAACTCGATGTGTCTTTATCACTTAGTAGTGGTGTACATTCTTCTTCCTTGTAAATAAGAGGCTTTAGATTTAATTATTGTCAAAGGCAATTTCGAACCAAATTATTATAGCTAGCCTATTGTGAGGTTTAAACATCTCCCTATCTCTTTACATAGATAATATTTTAAAAAAATTTACATGTCTTAATTTGTAACAAAGAGGAGATTGAGTACCACTATATTGAGAAATGTTGCTTTCTCAAAGTGGGACTCTTCATGGATCATCTGACACCTCACAATTTAACATTAATTCTCATGTCAACATTAATATTTTAAAAAATTTATCATGCCCTTAATTTGTAATAAAGTGGAGACTAAGTACCACTATATTGAGAAATATTGCTCTCTCAAAGTGGGATTCTCCATGAACCCTCCAACACATCATAATTTAACGTTAATTCTCATGTCAATATTAATATTTTTTAAAATTTAGCATATCTTTAATTTGTAATAAAGTGGAGACTGAGTACCAATATATTGAGAAATGTTAAAGTTAAACTGTGAGATGACAGAGGGTCGAGCAGAGTCCTACTTTTGAGAGTTTCCTTAGCATACATATCTCATATGAAGCGTCATAATATAAGTGGTTGGATAGTTGTAACAAAAAAAATTCAACCACTTGTATTATAACACTTGGTGTAACGAGCTTACTCCCAGCATTTTGAAAAATTTCTCATTAACATGGTTCTTAACTTACTAATTATGAGCAAAGAGTGAATTAATTATTTATGATGAGTTTATATTATCATCATCAATGGATGGAGGTTTGGCCGTCGAACATATAAGAGCACGAGATCCACATACGTATGAATATGATGAAGGCACCAAACTTATTAAATAATTTGAAGCAAATTCCAATCTTTGTTAGATGTTGAAATCAAACTTGTTCGATCGAGTGGTTTTGTTAGGTAAAGGTGCTTGTTTATATGGTCATCTCCCACACATTTTAATTAATTAATTAAAAAGTATACGACAGAACATATGTCGTAAACGAATTAAACTTAAAAAAATAATACCAAAGTTTAAAATTAATTAAGCAAAAGAATAGTCTTATTAACCAAAGAAACGAAGCCATCGTACCACATTAATTCATACTTTAATAATATAATATTTAACAATTCAATCTCAGTGACCAAATGAAGAATTCCATAAGCTTAAAACGCATGCCAACACTTTTATTTGTTTTTATGGTTTACAATCGTTGTCAGACTAATTAAATTATTAAGATGGATTATTATATTTTCCATGTGGGAGGGATGAAGTTCTAGGAAGGGTGCAAATATGATTGTTTCACCTGTCGCGATGTCATTGGTACAGTAAAGGGGGCTGGGGTTGGACCATGTGTGTAATTGATGATGGTAACTTTAGGTGTTTAGGTTTGTGCATGCAACACTAATTATGGTCACTTTGATTAATTTGTTTGGAAATCAAGCAAATTACCTTGTCAAATCAGAATTGTTATTCGCTGTTATATACACATGGATTACGAAATAAGTTAGGGTTTTGATTGTTTTGAATTGCATGACTTGGGATGGGAATTGTTCTAGATTTTGTTGATACGTTTGTTATTTGTTTGTGCGGCTTTGTTCGTTTTAATTCTTCTTTTTTAAGTTGCTATTTTTCCAATCATGTTAAGATTCGGGTTGCACGGTAGTGTTACAAATTTTGTAATGAAATCGTGAACTTTGCTAAAATGATAGGAAGTTTTGTGAATGAAACAATGTGATTACCAAGCACGTCCCCATCGACGAAAGGGTTGGAGGCAAATTCATGGGTAACCATACATCTACTAGTCAAATGACATGAAGGGTGAATAAAGTAATTGTGACACTGAAGAAATGGGTGTAGAGTATTAAGAGGGACAATGCTGGATAAAATTTTCATTATGTCGAAAACACTACGCGGAATACTAAATTTCATAATACAAGTGAATAAATATTTTTAAAATACTTGATGTACAAAATCATGTTCCCAACACTTGAAAAATCTCTCCAATGGATGGGCCTATGCCCTAAAACTCTATAGTGGTAGAGGGAGGCAGTCTTGGGTCCACTCTTGGTTTATAACATGCATGGAAATTAAGTGTGAAGAGGAAGCATCATTTGGTTGCTTACGGCAATAATTGAGCCGACTAAACACCCTAGAGTCTCAAATTAGGGTTTGAACTTTGACAGCTCCCTAACTTTCACAACGCCCACAACTTTGCCCTAATGCTCTTATTCAAACCTCACCATAATAACCAACATCAGTTCCCAAGAAACTAAACGAGAACTCAACTCCATGGAAAAGTACAAATACCGTAGGTCCCGTCCCATGCCACTTCTGCTGCAATATCGCCATGCAATACCAAACGTCACGTTTTTTAGTCATAAGATTTGAAGTTAGATTTTTTTTCAATAAAAAAGAAAGAAAAAAAGATAGTATCACTAAAGTAAAACAATTGGAAGAGTTTAACGTGCAAGTTCCAAATGGGTCATAAAATTTGATGAGCGATTTTCGCAATCCTCTTTTCTCCCCTAGTGCTCACTTCCCTTTTGATAGCCTTCGAGTTGAAGAAAGCACAATAAATTTAAGGGATGAAAATAAGAGAAGTGCCGGGAAAAAAAAAAAAGAGAGTGAAAAGGGGAACACAACCTCATTTCTTAGTGGCGAAGAAACAAGACTACGTTTTCCTTTTGAATCTCCCTTTGCTTTTTTTAGTCTTTTTGGCATGGGATCCTAATCGTATATTAGAAATGAAAAAGAATACATTGTAGCAATGGTTTCTTAACTTTAACTCAATTGGAGCAATGCTCTTTCAATTAAAAATCCATTACCATTTGTCTCTTAACTCATCAAAACGTGCGACTATGGTTCCTCAACTAAAACCTCAATTGGAGAAATGGTCCCTCAACTTTAACTCAATTGTAGCAATGGTCCTTCCAACATAACTCATTTTGTCAAAATTCTGACAAAGTTGACGAAAATAACTATAACTGCACGTTTTGATGAATTGAGAGACCCCAATTGTAGCAATAGTCCCTCCAACATAACTTACTTTGACAAAATCCTGACGAAGTTTGAAAAAACCCATAACTATACATTTTGATGAGTTGAGAAACCAATGGTAATAAATTTTTAGTTGAAAGACCATTACTCCAATTTGATTAAGGAGTAGGATTATCTCTCCTCTTTTTTTCCCTCCCATTCCCCATCCTACTATTTGAACGATCACAATTACGTCACGTCAACATCTTATATTAATTTTTTATAGAAAGAAAAAGACAAAATTGAGAATGTGAAAGGAGAGGATGGAAGGGGATGGAAAGACGAGGGAAGAGAATCCTAGTCCTTTTATTAAAGTTGAGAGACTATTGCTACAATTTACTCAATAAAAAATGCAAATCTTAATCTCAATTGTGGGATTCACATAGACCACTAAATTTATTTTCGATTTGATTTACTCTTGAGTCTCTAACAAATACGGATTAACATGACAAAAGGTGATCGACTATATTACGATACAGATCACTAGATGTGTATCAAAGTGCTACCAACGGAGCAAACGTATCATATTTCTCGGTAAGTTTCAAACACCGGCACCAAAATCTCAACATCAGGGTGGCCTTCAGAAAAAAAAAATTCGTAATAACAACACCGGTAGAGCCTAAAACTTGAAGTCCCTCTTCTTGTTTTTCCCTTCTTTCTCTTGCATTTTACGTTTCCTCTTCTTCTCGTTCTGCACCAAAACCAACTCATTAGAATTTGTTAGACGCGTAAATGAAAAAACTAATTGTTAGAATTTGCCAAAGATGGTAGAGGCGCACACCTCTGCGACCATGTCGCTGAAATCTTCCTTCTGACTTCGCAGCTTCTCCTCCTCCCTCGCTTCTTCATACCTGTTAAAGGCCATATATTAGTTATACGCTATCTGCTGCTAAGGTAAACGGTAGAAGTAAAGTTCCATATCTTCATGTTTCGGACTTACTTTGCAGGCAAAACGGTCTCCATATCATCCAATTCTTCGGGTTGTATAGTGACCTCCACCTTATCTGCTTTCTGACCTCTAAGCAGCTCAACCTAAGACAACAATGACAAATCAATCAACAATACACAATCGAGAATAATAAACAAAATAACAAATAGTTGCCAGACAGAGATTTAAAGTAAGAAGGTATGGATACATCAGAATTTCTTTTAGAGCTTAGAAAGGAACAATTCATGCAGTCCTTACCTTTTTGGCCCCTGCTTTGTCTTGGGTGCCACTCAAATTATACCTACACGTGGAGAAGGACAAGTTTAGAAACTAATCAAATTGAAAAACAACAAGGTAGACACACAATGTTTAAAGAGATGAAGCAGATTGTGTACGTGTGACCCGTTGCAAGAAGTGTCCCGGGAGCAATTCTTTCCTCTTTTTGTTCAAGTACCTTTGCAAAACAAGTCAGACGAAGAATTACAAAATGTTGTTAATCAAACATACTACACAAATGACAAAAGTCTCTAATCACTGAGCTTACTTGGTATAAAGGCTTTTCAGGTTCTTTTTTCTGATCCTTGCGAAGTTCAATTTGAGCAGGTGTCTCAACGCCAGTGGGAGTACTGAGGAAAAGGTGAAAAATTAGTAAAAAGAAAAGAGTTTACGTTGCAATCTTCAGTGGACCGAAAAGATATAACAACCAATCTGGAAAAAATGGAAAGAAAAACTAAGAAATGTACCACCGAAAAAGCATGTTAACACAAATAAATATGGAAAACACCGGAAATAAGATACCTTGACATGCTGTCTACAGATTGAATGCCATCCTCTAAATCTTCGTCCTCAGGCTGTTCTTCCTCTTCCTCTTCTTCTTCTTCTTCCTCCTCTTCCTCTTCCTCCAAATCACCCCAATGCTTTGTCTTGTCAACAGGCTCCTCCTGAATTTAAATGAAAATGTTATTGCAATATAATAAGTAAAGGCCATGGTCCAATGACAATTCAATGAACTAGAAACAATAATACAAGTCAATCATAAATATATCTCCTAGTAATTAAAGTAGTACTCTATAAGCCCATCAGACAAATAGAAATTACGTACAAAGTTAATCTAATGAACAAAAGCTGTACCTCATAATTGGGCTGATCTTGTTGCTGAACGCCAAATACATCTCCATACAACGGTTGGCCATACTGTTAAACGACCAAAGTTAAATGGTTAAAAAACGAATATATATATATATATATGTATGTATATGTGTGTGTGTGTGTGTATATATATATATATATAAAGTAGTTTGAAATTGGAATAAAACAAAGGAAACAATACCAAGAATTTAAAACTTACTTCATCAACGGGAGGCTTTCCCCAGCCACCAGGATGGTACCCAAAGCTGGCTCCAGGAGGGATAGGAGCATTCAACCCGGGAATTTTCAGATGTGGATATGATGGTGGAGGACCATATCTCTACAAGAACGAAAAAGGCAAATAAAGGCAATACCCAACATTAACAAAGTTATATAGATACAACATAGAGTTGAACACCAAACACAATATATTAGCACACTCACCTGCATATTGATGAGCCATGGGGGAGGAGCACCATCTGGCATACCCAGAGCTTCTTTTAGTTCATGTGAAAGCATGCCTGGTTTCATCTCCCTCAATTTCACCTGAACACAAAACCAGAAAACAACACAAATAAAAATTACGTTACACCATCACACAAGATACACAGATAGAATATTCACACGACCAATAGCATAGAGGTGTTTATGAATAGATGCTGGAATAATATACCTCAAATTCCTTCCCTTCATGGTACAGATCACCGAGAGTTGTCAACTTTGGCTTAGTCTGGTACTTGAAAAATGCATCATGGAGAACCTAACAAACAGAAACCAATCTCATCAGTAAATCAAGATAATGACTACAGATGCATGTCCTCATGAATTACATTAAAAAACAAGATTAAAAAGTCTGAATTATAATAAATGAACACCTGATAATCGATATCCATTTTCCCCATCTTTGGTTGCATACGCTCCCGTTGTTTTTGCTTCAACTTCTTGCTATCTTCTTTTTCAATATATGCCTGCACAAGATAACCAAACCACAATCAACACGCAACATAATTAGAAAATTGGAAAGACAAGGCAGATAAAACCATAAATATAATTATGCAAAGGCAACAAGTATTTGATGCATGTTTCTTTGTTAAAACTTAATTAAGATTCAGGAACAAAAGAAATATTTTACTTATGAGGTTAAAGTTATATGTTATGAGCAAAACTTAACAAACAAGCCATGCTTGAACAAGAATTGAGATTTTTTAAAATCTCATTACCAATTTACCTGTCTAATTTTCTCAATTCCTGTAGCAGCAATGAAGTCTGGAAGCTGAAACGGTTGTTTCTCAATACCACGTTTACCCTGCAAAATCAATCCAGTCTCGATGAGATACATGTAATATTTTACAATCATCAGCATAGATTTCAACATCAAATGAGCAGTCTTAAATATTAAAATTATAGCAGAATTGGGCCCAATGACTAAGCATTATGGGAAGGCATCTGAAAATTCAAAATAGATAAATCAGCACATGAATAAAATCCCAAAATCCATCATGCACAGGTACTAAAAATATCCCCCAATAATAGCACTAAATTATGCCCAGATCCCCACCCCACTAGGCACTAGTAGATATATAAAGATAAACATTCAAGGTTTAATTTTCCAAACACCTACAAGTCCAGGCTCCATGGTTGTCACAGCCGCTCCCCTGCAAGAACCACATGTATACATATAAGAGAAACCTCATCGACGTGATCTTACCACATCCTATCCCTAATCCCATCATGTTAATCATACCCATTAATCATGCATCCATATTTTAATAGATAGTTTTAATATCAGGGTAATCACTAACCTGCAGAAATTTCCTTTTCTGACACCAATGTCTTGGCACGGGTACAGTATTGCGATATGATTTTAGAAACACCAGCAGCTTAGGATCAGCTGCAGTTGCATCCCACACCTGAGAATATGTAGACAGACAAGCTTAATTCCAAACATACAAAAATGGAAAACAACAGGAACAACATATAAAACAAATTCAAACATATAAAAAGATCAAGTTGTCCAGACCTCAACAACATCAGGCCTTTGGCAAATCTGTTTCAATTCTGCAATCTTCATTCTCCGTTGAAGCTGAAAGATAACAACACATTTATTTAGCCTCGACAAAATGTTGTTGATATAACAATAACAATAAATAAAAAATTTAACATAACGTTGACAAAAAGAAAATACTAACAAACCTTTTTCTTCTTGTTTGATATTCCTTTCTCTTTTTGTTCATTATCCTGCTCTTCCTCTTCAGAATCTGAGTCAGCCTTCTTTTTGGGGACTCCTTCAGACTCATCCTTCTTATCCACCTGGATAGCTCAGAGAAATGCATCATGGAACATTCTAGCAAATAATAAAAAAGGTGCACTGAAATTCAGATGTTACACAAGATGCCCTTTTACCTCAACACCCTCAGAGTCCTGGAAGGAGAATTTCTCGAAAATTTTTCTGAATTCCTCATCCATGCCATCAATTAACTCAGGTTTCTCTGGAACATATTCAATTTGAACTTGCTCAATAATCTACACAGTTCAAAAAGTATCATTAATACACATGAAAAGATAAGAGACCAGAATTAGCAGACTAGAAACAATGAAAAAACAAAAAATCAACACTATTACAAACTCTTGTTTGGCTGTTCAAATGATATTGAAAATTACAGTTAACAACTTTCACAATGGGTTTTCAAAGATTAACACCAGTGTGTACACAAGCGAATTAAAATAGAGTTCCGGGTTCCACTTTCCCCGCCTAAATCTTCACTGCATGAATAGAAGTTACAGGGTAACCATTTCTTTTCTCAGATTTACTCAAGCGGTATAGTTCAATTAATGGCTTGGCAACCCTACACATTGTTCTTTGTTTTCGTTACATAGCTAATATATTCTAAGCAACCGCGGAGCCAAAACCCTAATCTAATTAGCCAAAGGAGTTGAATGCAAATCCTAAACCTCCAATCTAAAACAAAAATAAACTCCCAGAAAGGATGGCATCCAAATCAGAATATAACCCTTCGATAAAACCGGAAAATCTACCCAACAGAACAGCGTCCAAATCAGAACACAAGACTTCGTTAAAACCCTAGAAATCAATCTGCGACGAACAATAACTAAACAGACACTTCACAAAAGAATCAGAGGGAGAGGGAGGCGAAGAACCTGCTGGGTATCATTATTCTCCTTGACGTCATCGTCAGTCTCGCCGGCGCTGGACTCCGGCGCCTGAGAGGCTTTGTTGTTCTTCTTCTGCTTTCTCCTGCGACGGCGTCGCTCGCTCTCCCTCGACTTCTTGGCGGCAGCGGAGGCGTTGTTGTTAGGGATTCCGTTCAGGTCGCCGTTCGCGACGACGCCGTTTGGCTGCGAGAGAACCTCCGCAGTCATGGTTCGGGACCGGAAGCGCACAGCGGAAAACCAAATCGAGAGGAAAGAAGAGGCTCTCTCCGAGTGGCTGTGTGGTTAAACAATTTGGGAAAATTTATTGGGGGAATGGCATTTATAGCGTGCAAGAATTGGCACGTGACTCATCACGTGAGAGGCTACTGTAGTTGGGCCTGATAGCCCATATCAAAGTTTGTGAATGTGTCGGGTTTTAAGTGGGCTGGGGATCCAAATCAAGCCCAATTAAGTGACAGAATCTCTTCAGTAGGGGTGTCACGCGGTCGGACTTTCAGAGTCTTCCAATAAGTTTATTAGTAGGGGTGTTCATGGTTCTGCTGAAGGTTTTTTCGTATGAAGCGTTTTGACTCTTGGACATTGTATTATAAAAATTCAAGTTCTTGATAAAACACACTAGAAAATACTTTTTGAAAAAACACTTCAATTGTTTAATTTAGAAATCATGCTTTTAAAATGATTAGAAGCGTTTTTGTATGAATGCTCTATAAGTGTTTTTTTATGGATTCACTTGCATTAATGAGACAGGTTGGTGCATGCAAAACGAGGCGAATTGACTTACACAAAACGATGCGAGCCCAAGCACATTGTTGCCCGCACGAAGAATGGTGTTAGGGTGGAGCATATATAAGCCACTGTCCATATGGGATAAGGTTTAGTTTTAATCTCATGAGTCAACTATTGTTGCATGTCCAAATGAATTGTGTCAAGGGTAAGGCGTTTATAGGGGGTATGGTTTAATTTTAATCTCACGCGTTAGTCATGGTTTGTCGTATGAAACATAGGTGCCAGAGGTAAGGCATTTATAGGGGGTGTGTTTAGTTTTAATTCCAGGGGTTGACCGTTGTTGCCTGCATGAAGCATTGGTGTCGGAATAGGGCATTTATAGGCCGTTATCAATAGGGGTATGGTTTCATTTTAATCTCAAGGGTCAACCATAGTTGGCTAGATAAAGCATTGCTGCTTGGGGTAGGCATATTATAAGTCCATATCGACCATGATAGGATTTGCACTAAAGTCATAAGTTGTAACAGAGTAACCCCTGTTTAAGGGAAAAAATACATTTCTTCGTTGTGCTGCGGCAAGGGAAAAAAATTCGAATGCGTCGGCCAAATAAACGTGCTGAACTCGGGGTGTTATTATTAACACACCCCAAAACACTTGAACTCATGGTGTTACTATTCATGTGCCCATAAACATTAAACCTCATGGGCCTCCAAGCCCTCCACTGCTTCTACTGCGCCTTGAGCTTTCTAGTGGGCACAAGTTTGGGCTTAGGCGTGAATTTGGACTACGTCTAAACCATTAATTTTATTTATTTAAAGTTTTATTTTTTATTTTTGTTAAATTTTCGTCTTGCCCATACCACAACATGAAACTATCATCTTGATGTTCTACAAAATGTATTTTTGGTGAAAATTTTGTTATAATCCATGTCAAAAATTTCAAAAAATAAGGATATATAAAAGGTATTTGAATCTAAATAAAGTAAAGCACAAAGAAAGAGAAATTCAATGGAAAAAGAAAAAGAAAAAGGAGGGGGAAAATGTTGCGATCGGTATTTTCATCTCGATCCTTATTCAAGAGAGTTGCTAGCTAACTAGCGATTCTTTCCATATACAATCACTAGTGTGCTAGCAGTTGTACTGAATTAAAGTCGCTATCTTCATACCGATCCCCCTCTTTTCAATTTTTTTCTTTTTATTTATTTTATTTTATTTCTCTTACCATAACTACAAACTATCATCTTCATGTTCTTCAAAATATATTTTTCCATGCTAAATCTATTATAATTAATATTTAAACACTTGAAATTAATGATTTAAAACCTAAATTTAAAGATACTCTCATATTTTCAACTTGAAAAATCAATAAAAAATAGTTTCAAGACCTAATAAACGGTATCACCTCCAAAGGTCTTCCAATATTTTCCTTAACTCTGACGCAAATATTTCCTAAAGCTAAAAATTTCAAAATTTCACAAAAACTGTGATTTATAACCCATAGTTCTCTAATCAATGTTGAGAACTTTACAATATTCGTTATAAACTTATAAGCCAAAGTTATAGTCATTTTACTCGCACCACATGTTTCCTAAAATTAATTTGGCACATTCCCAAGATTTTGGACACCTAGAAATCTCTTTGGGAAACCCCACTGTTAGTTTTCTTTCTTTTCTTTTTTTTCTTTCTATTTTTGAACTTCAAAAAATTAACAAGAAATAGTTTGGGGGCTTAATAAAGGATAAAATCACATCAAGTGTGTCACATCCCAGCTCGGGCCCCCACTACATCCCAGGTTCGACTCCACCATACCACGATATTATTCGTTTTGGGCCCCGACCATGCCCTCACGGTTTTGTTTCTGGGAACTCACACGAGAACTTCTCAATGGGTCACCCATCTTAGGAATGCTCTCGCGCGCTACTCGCTTAACTTTGGAGTTTCGATGAAATCCAAAGCCAATGAGCTTCCAAAAGTCCTCGTGCTAGGTAGAGATCTACTCCCCTGGGCGATGTGGGATGTTACAATCCACCCCTCTTAAGAGCCCGACGTCCTCATCGGCGCACACGCGGCCTGGGTTTGGCTCTGATACCAAATTGTCACATCCTGGCCCGGGACCCCACCACATATCGGGCTCGACTCCACCGTAGCACGATATTGTCTGCTTTGGGCTACGACCACACACTCACGGTTTTGTTTATGGGAACTTACACGAGAACTTCCCAGTGGGTCACCCATCCTAGGAATGCTCTTTCGCGCTACTCGCTAAACTTCGGAGTTTCGATGAACTCCGAAGCCAGTGAGCTCTCAAAAGGCCACGTGCTAGGTAGAGATAGGAATATACATATAAGGCTTACATGATCCACTCCCCTGGGCGATGTGGGATGTTACAAAGTGAACATTTTCATTAATTCCCACATAAAATATTTTCTAGAGCTAAAGGTTATGGCTTAGTAATTAGTAATTATGATTTACTAATTAATTTTATGTAGTTAATAAGTGTCAGGTTTAGTGATTTTTCAATATTTATCAGATTCTAAATATTTTTAGATTAAAACGTCTATAAAATTAACATGCCCCTAAACACTTGAACTTTCTAGCAGGCATAAGTTTGGGCTTAGGCTTGAGTTTGGACTGTGTCTAAACCATTAATTTTATTTATTTAAAGTTTTATTTTATTTTTTTATTTTTGTTAAATTTTCGTCTTGCCTATACCACAACACGAAACTATCATCTTGATGTCCTACAAAATGTATTTTTGGTGAAAATTTTGTTATAATCCATGTCAAAAAATTTGAAAAATAAGGATATAAATATAAAAGGTATTTGAATAAAGTAACGCACTAAGAAAAAAAAAATTCAAGGGAAAAAGAAAAAGAAAGAGGAGGGGGAAAAATGTTACGATCGGTACTTTGTTCCTGATCCTCTTTGAATGAAGTTGCTAGCATGCTAGCGATTGATTTGCTAGCATGCTAGCGATTGTGTTCAGTTACAATCGCTAGTAATATAGCAAACTTCTTGAACCCAAGTCGCTATGTTCATACCGATCCCTCTCTTTTCAATTTTTTTCTTTTTATTTATTTTATTTCTCTTACCATAACTATAAACTATCATCTTAATGTTCTTCAAAATATATTTTCCGATGCTAAATCTATTATAATTAATATTTAAACACTTGAAATTAATGATTTAAAACCCAAATTTAAAGATACTCTCATATTTTCAACTTGAAAAATCAATAAAAAAATAGTTTTTTTACTTGAGATTGGTTCCGTAAGTAATTTCATCACAAGTACTTTTATTCATTATAAAGGCACTTTTACACAAGCTATATTGTACAAAAGACTAAAAAATGCTTTTAATTATCTGAAAATGCATCTACAAAACCCTAATTATTCAACGTGAGAGAAGCTACTATAATAATAATTGGGCATGAAATTTCAGGCCCATACAACAGTTTGAGAGGGCTAAGCCCAAAATATATGAAAATTTAGCTCAACTACAAAGCGACATCTGGCCCCACTTTGCTTGCTGGCAACGTAAGTTTTGGAATGGTATTCTCTGTGTTTTTATATATTTTTGTACTTATATATATAATATTTATTGACGTCACTTTCATGCTGTGCATTCTTTTATAATTATATTATATATTACTTGACATGACTTTCAGGCTGTACAAACCTTTTCTGTGCTTAATAAATAGAGAGAGTGATTGCTATTTCACTTTGATCTCTCTCCCACCACGAAAATAGTAGAATGTTGTAACGAAGTTACCAACTAGTTTCATTTTTTTTTTTTAAGTAGCAATTATGGTGGATTTTTTAAAAGTATATAATCCGAAGAAGATTGTCTTCCAATTTAAATGGAATTACTAGTCTTATCATTTTGATCCTTGATTTGAAGGAATATTTTGCCTTAATTTTCCAAAAAAATAAGTTTCAACGTTTATTTTTTTTTTGAAAGAAGAAGTAAGTTTCAACATTGATTCATCCAAAGTGTTATATAAAATGACTTTACGTGACGGTTGAATGATACTTTTATTTGTACGTCTAAACTAACACATATGTCAATAAAAAATCACTCTCAAAAGATAAAACTCTACTCTATATGAATCTCAATTATATTAGAGATTGTGCTAGAAAATGTGTCTAAATAATTTTCCATTTTATTAAAAAAAATTAAGGCACCGTAATTGTACAACTAATGTGTCATTCGTAACTTTAATCGTAGTAATTTATACAGGAATATTTTTGTTCATCACTTTATTTATTATCGTTATATAAATTTAAATTTCGAGATCTATTTAGTGGATAGATACAAATCTCAAAATTTAAATCCATTAAATAATGATAAATAGGTGGTGAGAGTCAAAATACACTCGATTTATACATTAATTCTGACATGTACTGTACGTCAAACACTGTACTAATTAGATCCTAATTTGGTTTATAAATAGTAATTTCTTCGGTAAATCACAAAACACCCAATTTCTTCAAGTAGAAGGTAAAAGAACCCTCCGTTTTGCTTCAGAAAAAAGGGAACAGCCGACACAGACGGCAATAAAGGAAGAAAAAATACCCGATAAACGCGGGCTCGTCCGTACAGACAGAAAACATAACCAAAAATCCCTCCTCCTCTGTTCCAGATCTGAGACAAAACCCACATAAATTCTTTTGTGTTTTTCGGAAATCTGAGTTCGATCGGATTGAGAACTCGAAAAAACAGCTGTCCACGTAAAAAGGTCCTTCCTTTCTTTCCCACCTCGTCATAACAGAGGAGAGAGAGAGAGAGAGAGAGAGAGAGAGAGAGAGAGAGAGAGAAAGAGGGTGATGGGGTTGCTGAGTGGGCAGCAAAACGGGAATGCAGCTGAGAATGGGGTTGCTGGGTGCGAATTTCAACTCGGAGGGAGCAAGAACAAGTACAAGAGAATGGAGTCCGAGGTCGGAGAGACAGAGGAAGATGCTTCATTGACCGACAAAAATACCGGGAGATATGTCTTCGCCTGCGCAATCTTTGCCTCCCTCAATTCCGTGCTTCTTGGATACGGTTTGTTTCATTCTCTTTCCTTGATCTATGTTTGTGTTTTTTTCGCTTGATCTGCCCGACCATTTTGCTTCTGTTTTTTTTTTTTTTTGCATTTTGCTTGTTTTATTTTATTTTATTGGTATAATTATATCTTTCTGTAATTCTGTTTGATCTGCTTGTTTGGCAAACTCCTATCCGGATTTAATGGTTGGAAATATATTTAATTATTGAAATTAACTAGACAACTATATTTAGATGTAGAATTTTTAAGCATGTTTTTCCGACTTAATTGTTAAAAAACCACTTGTCTAGTTGTCTAAATTTCAGTAAGATAATCCGAGTAAGTGTATCCAATTTGGATTTAAGTTCCAGAAATTTTGAGTGACAAATTTTGCCAATGTGAAGTTAATGTGTCATGTTGCAAGATCCTTTTTCAATGCTTTGAGCAGTTGAATGGCTTAGCGAAGTAAAGAATCTGTTTTGATTCTTAAAGTTATGGCTTTTTCGAAAAAGGGCAAGGTTTTCATACTCCCGTTTTTTACTTCTGCGTTCCTCCCTTTGTTTTTATCCGTTGATTCTCCTTTGATGTGTTCAATGCTAAATGCACCAGAAGAAAAGGGCTCCCCTTCGAAAAAAATGCCGTAACATTGGCTTGGTTCATTGTGATTTTGGTCTTGTGTAAGCGGAAACTTTAATACTTCTTCACCGGTGTTTGTTTATGTCCCTTTACTTAGATGGTAACTTTTATGCAGTACAACTGCCTGGTTTATGATGTGTGTTTTATCACAATGCAGATGTGGGTGTTATGAGTGGAGCAATTATATTCATCCAAGAGGATCTGAAAATCAGCAACGTACAACTAGAACTTCTTGTTGGAATTTTGAGTATCGTCTCCCTATTGGGAAGCTTAGCCGGTGGAAAAACATCCGATGTCATTGGTAGAAGGTGGACAATTGCATTGGCATCAATTGTCTTTCAGACTGGTGCTCTTATAATGGCACTTGCTCCTAGTTTCACAGTACTGATGATTGGTAGACTCTTTGCTGGGGTGGGGATAGGGTTCGGGGTCATGGTTGCGCCTGTTTACATTGCTGAGATTTCTTCTGCAACAGCACGAGGCTCTCTTACATCTTTTCCTGAGATATTTATAAATTTTGGGATTCTGCTTGGATATATATCAAATTATGTTTTTTCTGGACTTCCAGTACATATAAGCTGGAGGGTCATGCTTGGTGTGGGGATCATACCTTCGGTCTTTCTTGGATTTGCTCTTTTTGTGATCCCGGAGTCCCCGAGGTGGTTGGTGACGCAGAATAGGATGGAAGAAGCAAGGATGGTATTGACCAAGACTAATGAGAGTGAAAAAGATGTTGAGGATAGATTGGCAGAAATACAGCAAGCCGCAGGGATGGCCAATGCTGAAAACTACGAAGCAAAAGCTATATGGCGTGAAATTTTTAATCCTAATCCTGCAGTTCGACGAATGCTGATTACTGGTTGTGGAATCCAATGTTTCCAACAGATTACTGGTATTGATGCACTTGTGTATTATAGTCCTACGATTTTCAAAGATGCTGGGATTAAAGGCAACACTGAAGTTCTTGCTGCAACTGTTGTTGTCGGGTTTACCAAAACTGTGTTCATTTTGGTAGCTATCTTTCTAATTGACAGAGTGGGGAGAAAGCCTTTGCTTTATGTGGGCACTATAGGAATGACCTCTTGTTTATTTGTTCTGAGCGTTGCTCTAGCATTGCCAGGACAGGGGAAACTGGGGATTGGAACGGCAATATTAGCTGTTTGTGGGAATGTAGCTTTCTTCTCAGTAGGAATTGGCCCAATTTGTTGGGTATTGTCATCGGAAGTCTTCCCTCTAAAGCTTCGAGCTCAAGCATCCGCCCTTGGGGCTGTTGGCAGTAGGGTTAGTAGCGGTGTGATTACCATGTCATTCCTCTCCGTGTCTGGAGCAATAACAGTGGCAGGAACCTTCTTTATTTTTTCATTGATTTCAGCTCTCTCTGTTGCTTTTGTCCACACATGTGTTCCAGAAACAAAAGGAAGGACTTTGGAAGAAATTGAAAAGCTTTTCCAAGACGAAGGAGAATGGCAAGGCGGTAGTGAGGTTGAAATGGGAGATGCAGAACGTCTAGTGCAGAATAAACTTCCAATGGTAGAGCCTGCAACAAATCTGGAGCCATAATAGGCAGGTTGCGCGTTACATATATTAGTTTTAGTATACTTACGTTTCCTCAATTTGTTTGACTGCAAAATGTACCCGATTGCATATATTACAGCAGAACCAAAAGAGAAATATTTTTCCGGCCATCTTGTTCTTGGCTCCCATGTAAACTTATTTAGATCTTCCATGAACTTCACTTTGAAGGCTGATGGAGTTGGAAATCAGATTTTATTGATTTAATTGAAACAATAAGGATTAATTTCCGGTCTTCTGCAATTCTAACCATTATGCTCGTTTGCAATTTGAATCGAGGATTAGGCAAAGGCTTTGTTCTACTTAATTTTCCTATCGAAGTTATCCCATCTTCTTTTGTTTATAGTTATCTTATTAAGGTTTTTAAGAGGCCTTCTGTCCCCTCAATTCCTCAAAGGGCACATTGACTTCTATAAGGTTCTTACTAGTCTCTCTAGTAGGCGCTCTTCAAACAGAGGATTAAAAGCGACATACTACTAAAAAAGAAGAAATGAAAGTGTCACTAGCATTGATCGTGCGAGATGTCTTTTCATGGTATAAACGTGGAGAGCACATAAGTTTCTTTTCATAGATCAAGAAATATTTCAAGCATGAAGGTGACATACAACTGAAACAGAGAAAATTACTTCATAAAATTTCTTCACTTGCAGCTTCTTGTATGAGACAAAGTCAACAGCAGCGCGTACCTCATGGAGGGAAGAGCTCAGTCCTCGCCATTTCGGTGTACAAATCTGTTGCTGCTGCACTGCTTTCTTCGTAGCTTCGTTGTGGCGGCAGCAGCAACCAACATCACCAAAGACCAATCTGCCCTGCTTGCTCCCAAATCCCACATCACTTATGACCCTCACAGTATCCTGGCAAAAAACTGGTCTGCAACTGCTTCTGTTTGTGCATGGATTGGTGTCACATGTAATGCTCCCCACAACAGAGTCCATGCCTTGAACCTTTCTTACATGGGGCTGGAGGGCACCATCCCTCCATACCTAGGAAACCTCTCGTTCCTCGCACAGCTCCATCTCCAAAACAACAGCTTTCACGGTTCTCTGCCCTATCAGATGGTTCGTCTGCGAAGATTGAAGTTCATCACCTTTGCATACAACCGCTTAAGCGGGGAGATCCCATCATTTTTCGGGTCACTGCCAAAACTCGGGTACTTGCATTTGGGTGGCAATGAACTTTCGGGTTCTATACCTGCAAGCCTCTTCAATGCATCCTCCTCATCACTGCAAAAGCTTGTTCTTTCTGACAACGCCCTTTCGGGTTCTATGCCCTCTACCATTTTCAACATGTCCTCATTGCAGGGCATTGATCTCCCCAACTGTAGCCTATCTGATGAACTTCCAGGGAACATTTTTAGTCAGCTTCCTAATTTGCAAGGGATTTATTTGTCACTTAACCATTTTTCAGTTGCTCCAAACTCCACTTTCTATATCTGTCTTACAATACCTTCACCGGAAGCATACCTGCCGGCATTTCGAATCTCACCGTGCTTGCCGGGTTATATTTGGGCTACAACAGTTTCAAAGGTACGATTTTTTTTCTTTTTCTTTTCTCTGCATAACTATATTTTAAATTACTCTAATCTATAAGGATGCACATGTTACCTTAACCAACTGACCAAACCCGACGTCTTAAAGAATGACGAATTAACTTTTTTGTTCATGAATTAACTTCGGCTTTAGCTTTAATTCAAAACATAATTGTACAAAGAAGAAGATATTTCTTGATCTTGTATCCGTCATCATCATTATCTATTGCCAATAGACATCTTGCGCGACATGAGGATGAGTTGTTTGGTTTACTTCCACAAACTTGACATTAGAGTACAAAACTATTAAACCCAGTTAGTGACGCTTAAAGTCAATCGTGGGTCCCATAAACTAAGAATTGATATCTTTATTCTAGTCTAATTGTCGAACAGAGGTACATAAAATTCATAATCGTCATTTTATTTGATAATTCACTTGGAAGTGGAATTCATCAGATAATATGAATTCACAGCAAATTGCATGTTTCCAGAGTCAAAAGCATTTCTTGCAAGAACAGCCCTCCAAACTTGCAACAACAGCCAAGCCTTATTTCACTAAGTGAGGTCAGCTGTATGAATCTTGGAATATTACTGGACTTGATTTGCGTCATGTCTTCCGTTAACTCCAATTACTCAATGTCTTTTCTCAAGATCAGCTTCCAAGCTTCCTAAGTTTTCCTCTACCCATTTCGCTCTACGCCTCCATCTCATAGTCATATCTTCTAACTAAAGCATTTGTAGGTTTTTGATTCACATGTCCAAACACCTTAGCCGACTTTTTCTTATCTTATCTTCAATTAGGGTTACTTCTACTTTACTTCAGATATTCCGTTCTTAATTTTATTCTTTCTCGTGTGCTCACACATTTCACGAAGCATTCTCAGTTTCGCTACACTCATTTTTTGCACGTGTTAATTTTTAGAATTCTCTTAATAGAATAAAAGGCACAACGGTAAAAAACATAACAATTAAAATATTTAAATAAAAACATATTTACTCGAACAAGTGGGTTGCTGCAGGAAGCTATTCACAAATTTGCTGGCGTGGGTCTGCAGCTGCTCATCCTCTCTGTTTTGTAGCTGGAGCGGGTTGGCTAGCAGCTGAGCTGGTAAAAAAAAAATCAAAGAAATGGATAACTGGCTGAAATTAGTGACGCTGTCAATCATGGTGCTGGTATGTGGTTGCTTAGAGTCCTACCACTTTGCTGTCCTCGTCTTCCTCCTCTTCTCTATCGGCCTTGTCTTTCGCCAAATGAACATCTTGGTCCCCGATGAAGCCTCCTCTTCATCATCCTCGTCCTCCTCGTCCTCCATCTCGGTCCCCGATGAAGCCTCCTCTTCATCATCCTCCACCTCCTTGTCCTCCTCGTCGTCCTTCTTGGTCCCCGATGAAGCCTCCTCCTCTTCATCATCCTCCACCTCCTTGTCCTCCTCGTCGTCTTTCTCCTTCTCGAAAGGTTCGCTGTACGATGTTTTCATAAACTTCAGAGGCAAAGACACACGTAAAAGCTTCACAAGCCACCTCCGTAAAGCATTAACAAATGCCGGAGTCAACGTCTTTTTTGACGACGAAGAACTAAAAAAAGGAGAAGAAATAACTAACGAACTAGTGCGGGCAATCCAAGGTTCTAAGATGTCTATCGTCGTCTTCTCAAGCGGGTTCGCGGACTCCAGCTGGTGCCTCGATGAGCTGGTTCATATCATTGAGTGTAGAACAACGCTGGGGCAAATGGTTTACCCGATATTCTATGACGTTGATCCTTCGGATGTCAGGAAACAGACTGGTCGTGTTGCGCAATCGTTACTGAAACATACAGATAAAAAGAAGGTAGCGAGGTGGAGAGCTGCTCTTACTCATGCTGCAAATTTGGCTGGATGGCATGTCGAAAACAGGTATCTACTAATTTCTTCTTTTATGAATTCAGGCTTTAACGTATCTTTATTTACTTTCGGTTTATAGATTCAATAAAACCTATGTTGCACGAACACTGGGAAACCCCAAAGTGTCCGAGTGTTGGACAATACGCCGACTAAACGGTTTCAGATACGGTCAAGACACGGTAGGGACTTTTTGTAAATATAAAAACATTTTGGGACAATTCAATTTATAGGAAACTTCGTTCTAATCCTTAACAAAGATGACTTTTTTACTAAAACCATAAGAAATATCAAAATCTAATTTCAGTTTCTTGACATTAATCACCTCATTATTAATTATAATTTATATTTAGAAGTTTTAATTATCTCTCTTTTTATTCCAAGTTTTGATCTATTAATTATGTTATATTATAATTTTCATTTTCATTTTATTCAATATATTTTATATTAAATATTTAGATAAACTAATTTTTATTATACAATATATCGAGATATACTTTGTCTTCATTTAGGTATATATATTTCAATATAATACATTTTAGTGCATACATTCTAGTATACCGTACACACATTTCAGTCCATACATTTTGGTACAAACACGTCGGTACATTAATTCAATATAATACATTTTGGTACTAACATTTATGTACATACATTTTGGTACACACGTTTAATACATTAATTTAGTATAATACAATTTGGTCATAACATTTTGGTGCATACATTTCAATACATTTGGGTGTATTAATTTAATATAATACATTTCAGTGCATACAATTTGATACATACATTTTGATACGAACACTTCGGTACATACTCGGTACTAACATTTTAGGTACACTAATTGAGTCTTTCAAGTTTAAAGAATGTTAAATAAAATGAATAAATTAAAAAAAAAAAAAACTTTTTTTGATAAAAAAAATAAGTAAAAAAGTTGAAGTGTGTACATTAATAAAATCAAATATTTAATGGGAAACATTAAATAAAATACACATTAATTAATTTGAATTAAGGACATATCAATGGACTATAATTAGTATGTTGTATAACACCAAGTTTTTATTAAATTTCAATATTTTTCAAGGATTAAAGTTAAAAAATCCTTTAATCTAAAATATTTTGGGGCATATTTGTAAATATCAAAAACTTAAAACACCTAACATTTCGGGCAGTTATGTAAATATAAAAACTTATGTAATATTTCTTATAATTTTATTAGAATTTAATTGTCATGTCCTAGTTGTGTTCGTGTTCTTATCTTTTGAGATTTTTCGTGTAGTAGTGTCCCGTTAATTTCAACATATCAGTTGTCCCTATCTGTGCAACATAAAATAAAATAAAGGAAAACCTTTCCCTTCTTCGGACCATGTTTATGCATACAACTGTGAACTCTTAGACCTCTCTTAATAAAATCGTACAATAAAGCTTAAGCTGTTAAGGCTATATTAATCACAGCAGGGAAGTCGCCGGCGAATGGCTGCGGATGCTGGGTTTTGTTTGTTTGTGTTTCTTATTTAAATTCAAATTTAATTGACGTTTACTAAGATTAAACCAAACATCTCACGAAAATTGTCTTATTTAAAAATCTCCAGTCATGATAAATAATTTTGTGTATCAGTTCATTTTAGTCTTGTAGTTGTATAACAATCTTCATTTTGCTTCTCAACTCGACTAATGCCAGGAATGAAGCAGCGCTTATCAGTAAGATTACTAGTGACGTCACCTTGAGGCTGAACAACACATACTTGAACGTAGTGCCCTACCAAGTTGGAATAGATTCTCAAGTGCTAGATATCAGTAAATATTTAGGTGTAGGAGATTCAAATGATGTTCGCGTGAATGGAATTTCGGGCATGGGTGGAATAAGAAAAACAACGATTGCTAAAGCCTCATCTTCATCATCCTCCACCTCCTTGTCCTCCTCGTTGTCTTTCTCCTTCTCGAAAGGTTCGCTCTATGATGTGTTCATAAGCTTCAGAGGCGACGACACACGTAAAAGCTTCACAAGCCACCTCTATAAAGCATTAACAAATGCCGGAGTCAACGCCTTTATTGACGACGTAGAACTAAAAAGAGGAGAAGATATAACCAATGAACTAGTGCGGGCAATCCAAGGTTCTAAGATCTCTCTTCTCGTCTTCTCAAGCCGGTACGCGGACTCCATATCGTGTCTCGAAGAGCTGGATCATATCATGACGTGTAGACACACGCTGGGGCAAATAGTTTTGCCGATATTCTATCACGTTGATCCTTCGCATGTCAGGAGACAGACTGGTAGTTTTGCACATTCGTTTCTGAAATATACAGATAAAAAGAAGGTCGAAAGGTGGAGAGCTGCTCTTACTAAAGCTTCATATTTGTTTGGCTGGGATCACAGAAACACTTTCGACGGGTATCTACTAATTCCTTCTTTTATGAATTCAGGCATTAACGTAACTCTATCAATATCTAGTTTGACACCACATTTTTATCAAATTTCAATCTTTTTCAAGGATTTAAGTATAATAAATAAATTAATTAATTAAAAAAAAAAAAAAACCTTTAATCTAAAGATATTTTGGGGCACATATTAACTTATAACACCTAACATTTTGGGCGGTTTCATAAATATAAAAACTTATGTAATATTTATTTTAAATTTATTAGACTTTAATTGTCATGTCCTAACTATGTTTGTGTTCGTACCTTTTGAGATTTTTTGTGTCGGTGTAATGCATTTCGTCGTATCCGTGTGCGTATCTTTGCAACATAAAATAAAATAAAGGAAAACCTTTCCCTTCTTCGGATCATGTTTATACATACAACTGTGAATTCTTAGTCTTCTCTTAATAAAATCATACAATAAAGCTTAAACTGTTAAGGCTACACTAATCACAACAGGGAAGCCCCGCCGGCGAATGGCTGCGGATGAAAGGGGATGCTGGGTTTTGTTTGTTTGTGTTTCTTATTTAAATTTTAACTTAAATTTTACTTGATATTTTCTGAGTTTAAACAAAACATCTCAAAGAAAATTGTCTTAAATAAAAATCTCTAGTCATGATGAATAATTTTGTGTATTAGTTCAATTTAGTCTTATAGTTGTATAATAATCTTCGTTTTGCTCTCAACTCGACTAATGGCAGGTGGGATGACGCAAAGTTGATCAGTATGATTACTAGTGAAGTCACTATGAAGCTGAACAACACATACTTAGACGTAGCACCCTACCAAGTCGGAATAGATTCTCGAATGCTAGATATCAGTGAATATTTAGACGTCAGAGACTCAAATGATGTTCGTGTGATTGGAATTTCGGGCATGGGTGGAATAGGAAAAACAACGATTGCCAAAGCTGTTTATAACAAATTTTATGACAAGTTTGAGCATAAAAGTTTCCTTGAAAAAGTGAGGGAAAAGGAAGTAGAAAAATTGCAAACACAACTTCTTTCAGATATCTTACAAACGACCAAGACAAAGGTAAGCAGTGTTGCTGCAGGGACCGCCTTGGTAGGGGAAAGATTTCGACGCTTAAAAGTACTTGTCATATTTGATGATGTAGAGGATGTGAAGCAGCTACGCGAATTAGCTGCAAATCGCCAGTCTTTTGGCCCGGGGATCATAATTATCATTACAACAAGAAACAAACATATGCTACAAGAATTTGCAGTTGATAAGATATATCCGGCAAAAGGAATGGAGCGAGAAGAAGCTCTTGAGCTCCTCAGTTGGTATGCTTTCGGAAGTAAGTGTTGTCCTAGTGATTATCTTGAGCTCGCAAGAGAAGTTGTCGATTACTGTGGAGGACTGCCATTGGCTCTTCAAGTTTTAGGTTCTACCCTGTTCAAAAGAAGCATAGGAGAGTGGAAGAGTACATTGGATAAACTGGAAAAAATTCCTGCTGGAAAAATTCATGAACAGCTGAAAATAAGCTACGACGGGCTAAATGATGATTATGAGAGGGAGATATTCTGCGATATATCTTGTTTCTTTATTGGGATGGACAAGAATGATGTCATGCAGATCTTGGATGGTTGTGGCTTTTCTGCAATGGCAGGAATCGAGGTCCTCCATGGACGGTGCCTTGTAACTGTTAATAGAAAAAACAAGCTAATGATGCACGATTTGCTTCGGGACATGGGCAGAGAAATCGTGCGTGCAGAAAATCCCAAGTATCCTGAAAAACGGAGTAGGTTGTGGCGTCCTGAAGATGTAAAAGCTTTATTGATAGACAATTCTGTAAGTACTTCCAATTGAACTTTATGTTAAATGCGTAAGGAATAGAAGAGAAGCATATATGTGTACGTAAGCAATCAAACTTTTTTGCATTCAAAACCTTCTCATTATTAAAGCCTGTTTTTGGTTAGCAGGGAACTGAAGAAATTGAAGGACTGTCTTTGAATTTGCCGAGTCATGATGAAGAGACTAGTTTCAGCACTGAGGCATTTACAAATATGAAGAGACTCAGATTGCTCCAACTCAAGTACATTCAGCTCACAGGAGAATATCATTGTCTTTCAAAAAAATTAAAATGGTTGTGCTGGCGTGGATTCCCTCTAAAGTTCATACCAAAAGACTTGTGTCAACCAAATATAGTTGCTATTGACATAAGATATAGTAGCCTCAGACAAGTTCTTTGTGAGGAATCCGGGGTAAGTACTAAGTAACCTCAACCAAATTAATTTTTTTTTTTTTTTTTCCTTCTGGTACCGTGCAAAACATCATGCTCTCTTTATCTTCTTTTTGGTTTTTGATTTTGATTTTTAATTTGGTTTTGTCTAACAGTTGCTTGACAAGTTGAAGATTCTAAATCTCAGCCATTCCCATGACCTAACACAATCACCGGACTTTTCAAAACTCCCAAATCTTGAGAAATTGATACTCAAAGGTTGTAAGAGATTGTCTAATGTTCACGAATCGATTGGAGATCTGAAGAGTCTATTTTTGGTAAATTTGGAAGGCTGCAAAATGCTTAAGAATCTCCCTAATACTTTTTATAAGTTGGAATCTGCTAAATTTGTTGTTCTTAAAGGTTGTTCAGAATTCAAAAACTTGTCTGAGGACTTGGGAAAAATGTCATCCTTGACAACTCTTGTTGCAGATGAGACGGCCATAACAGAAGTACCATCTTCCATCGCACGACTGGGGAACCTTCAGTCCTTATCTCTGCGTAACATGAGGTCATCTTTGAAGTTACCTCCTTCGTTAATGGGCATGCACGCATTAAGAGAATTAGATCTTAGTGGCGGCAATTTAAAGGAAATTCCTAACGATATCAGGAGTCTATCTTCTTTGGTATCATTACTTCTGGACCGCATTGGTTTCCATAGCCTTCCAAGCTTCAGTAGCCTCTCCAGGCTTCAAAGACTAAGCCTGAATGGTTGCGAAGACCTGGTTGAAATCACTGATGATTTACCACCAAATTTGAGTCTCTTGAGTATGAATGACTGCACTGCACTAGAAAGAATGCCAAATTTATCAGGATGGCCGAGAGTTGTGGCTCTAGATGGTTCCTCCAATCTCATTGAGTTTCAGGGCTTGGACAGGGCTTTAAACACGGGTATGACACTTGGCATGCGAGCGCACAACAGAATCACTGAATTCCTATTCAAGGATAGCACACTACAGGTTCTCTCTCTCTCTCTCTCTCTCTCTCTCTCTCTCTTAACGTCATATACCTTATACAAATCTTGTTGAACATGCTATAGGGATGGACTGGTACTGGATATATTTATCTTCGAGCAAATCATATTCCGACTTGGTTCAATATTGTCAACAAGAAGGGTGACCGAGTCTATTTTCAAGTGCCTCATGAAATCGGTTATAAGTTAAAAGCGTTGGCCGTGTGCTTCTCTTGTCGTCCTCATAAGTTGAACTCTCCTTTGACATATTCCATTTCTGTTATCAATCATACCAAGTGCACTTGCATTCATGCCGATGTATCCGATTTCTATCCGCCTGCTCGCTTGGAAGAATACCTTTGGATGGGACATTTCTCAAACGACGACTTCAAATTGGAGGGCGGCGACTCCGTCCATGTTATTGTACAAGCCCGAGACACTGAGACTGCGTTCATCAGGGTGGAGAAAACAGGGGTACGTCTAGTATCTGACAAACGTATTAACTTCAGTTTTTCGTCTATTCATTACGGTTCCATCCCTTATGGTGAGGCCATCAACAAATTTTATGATGATGATCATGATCATGCCGATCAATGACGACGATCATGCTGATCATGACAATGACGATGATGATGATCATGCCGATCATGATGATGATGACGACAAGGACGACGCTGACGATCATTTATCATAGACCATTAGAGATTGAGGTTTGATACCTGTATTTGACTGAGTACAGAGACGGCTCAGCTTTCACATATTATTTCACTTAGTGTGGTTAATACCTTTTTATTTTGAACTGTTGCGGTGGTGGTTAATTTCTATCATCAATGCATTTTTAAGTTTTGGAAAAGCAATTTAAAAAAGAAATACTTGAGATATGTCTTCAATGAGCGAGCATTTGGGGACTGGGAGTGGTCGTTTAACGCTTGAGATATGTCTTCTTAAGTCTCTCATTGTTGTTATTTAGGGACTGTGAGTGGTCGTTTAACATTTTGTTTTTAATTTATACTTTTTGTACTTGAGTATGCCAACAGTGAACGAGCATTTATTGTTTCACCCAAGATCCTGTGTACGGCAGCGCTCGAGAAAACATACCGAATTCATCCATCCAGAAAATGACGAAGAAATTGTATAAACTTATGACTTATTATTGAAACAACAGTGATCTTATTAAGGTTCTACATATCAAGTCCCACAAGCTGCACTTTGTGATTTCTCTTTAAACAAATAAAACATGCCATGTTTTATTCAAAATTAGGAATCAATGCTCGTTATAAAGACCTCAATATGCCATCACACTTACTGCTCGAAGCAAGTGTAATTATAGCTTTAACTTCCGAGTAATATAAAGACTCATTTGGATGTGTTTTTAAAATAACTGAAAACGCTTTTGATGCAAGTAAATCCTGGAAGTGCTTTAGATGTCCTTTTAAAATAACTGAAAGCGCTTTTGATGCAAGTAAATATTGGAAAAGCACTTAAAGTGCTTTCTGGAAAAAAACACATAACTGGTGCTTCTTGCAAAAAGCACATAAAGTGTTTTGGAACCCAAAAATATTTTCTCTAAAAGCGCTTTCAGCCATTTTAAAAGCACATCTAAACAAGCTATAAAGCTTTTACTTTTGAAGACCAGCACCACCTTTTCAGTTTGTTGGTGAAGATAATGTCTATATCACCTATGTGCAATGGCGTAACCAGGATTTTTACACAATGGGGTCATAATATCAATCAAAAAACCTTTATAGGGCCATTTTGTCTAGTACCTAGGAGGCATTGTCAATCCTTATTAACATATGCCTAAAGTTATGCCAACATATGTCGACTTCTATTATTATTTGTAGAGGTTTGTCGAGGGTGGATGCAGAATATTGTGAAGTAATGTTGACGACTACCGAGACTCTTTCAACTAAAGTATTCATACAAGAGAGAATAGGATGACAAATATAATGGAAGAAAATAGAAGTAGGAGGAGGAAGTTGTAATTTAGTTTGTCTTAACTGTTTATAGGAATCAAATACAATATACAAGCAAATATACATGGGGGATTTTGAAGTTGTTGGGATCAAGGACAACCAATGACGCCATACTGACCCTGTCATTGCCTCTGTGGCTGTTATTCGGGCTCCAGCGCATTTCAGAGAAGCCCTCTTATTCTCTTGTAGCTGCTAACTGTAAGTGTCAGTGCATGCCTCTGCCCGTCATTCTTTGGGACTCGACACCCAACTGTTGCTTCTGTTCGCTGTTTTCTTGCCAGTGGCACGCCAAACTTTTGAAGAGCGGCCATTGACATTGGCAGCTCAAAATTGTGCCTTAGATTTGACTCTATTCTCTGCAGCTTCCAGAGCCGCCGCAGTAGCTGCCATACATGCCCATACTGCTCCCACCACTGCTGTTCCGTTACTTTCTATAACTGCCAAGGCTTCATCAACCTCGGCAATTGTGTTTGCCTCTCCTCTTTGTTCACCGTTCTTTGACACAGTAATTCCTTGACCTAGTCCATCTTCTTGAAAAAGGATCATAATTGGCCTCCCCCCGCTTTCAAACCTATATTCTTAGGTTTTAATTCTTTTTGCAACCCTGTTTTTTCTGTTCATCTCAGCAAGCCTAATAGCCATGCTATCTTTCCCCTGTGATTGTCGGCTTGCTAATTGCTGCAATCTTGCCTGAATCCTCTCCACCTCTGCATCATCTTGCTTACTTTTTGCAACTTCTAACTCCCTCCTCAACCGGTTCTTCTCAAGCGCAATGTTTAATGGCCTTGACGAAACAGACTTTTTCTCCTGTATCATCTGCTTCACGGTTACGGCTGAGTTCACAAATGAGTTCTTTTTTTTATGGCATCATCCTTTTCCAACACATCCTCTTTGCTTGGCAACTGGCCACCACTTCTCTCCAACTCTCTAACCCACTGTTTAAACTCCTCCTCCAGCGGCGCGCAGTCGGAAATCATAGCCATCTGCCACCTGCAGCAGAGTTCTCATTACCCCAAACAACATTTAGATACTTATGTGTGGTTTTGTTCTCTAGTTCGTACTGTCGATCAGGATCTGAAGCATCAACATTCCAGACCATGCAGAGCCTGTAGATAGGCAGAGATTTTGACCTCCCAATTCCAACCCTTACAAAGCAACGCACAATTAACTCTTCAAAGAACGGATTCATAAACCACTTTGCAAGTTTGACCTTCGAATGGTAATCTCCATTATATCATCAAAAGTTAGTCCCTCTGACCTTTCATCGTCACTGTCAATCATTGCGTCATCCCCTGATGATCCTTCATCTTCACTGCGAGACCTACTATCCCTATCACTCCGACTAGAGCTACTCCGACCCACTGTATTCAGGTGTGAGAAATTTCGATAGCTTGAACTTCCTCCTCCAGAAGCATCTTTCAACTTGCGGTGAGCCTCAGGGTATTGCTTCTTCAAACGTTTTGCTCGTAACTCATTCAATGCATCATCCTTGGCAGCTGCCCTGTCAGCAAATCGAGCTGATGAACGAACCTGAGAGTATGGAAGGAGAAATTCCAAAAAGGGGTCCAACTTTACAGCTGAATCTTTTATGATTAACAAAGCACTATATGGCAATGCTAGATTGAATGTCCCAGCCCGCACTAGAAAACCTGCGAAAGCAAGGAGAGGTCAGTTGCGTGTATTGAAGATTGTACTGCCAACAACTGTGTCAATAGTGCTGCTACTAGTTTGTGTACTTGCAAGGAAAAAAAATATCATAGGAAGGCAAAGCAAAGTACTAAATCCAGAGGAAGCATCATCCCCTTTACCAGCGCCAAAAGGGATTCCTACCACAAATTTCTGCTTGCCAGGAATTTTTTCGATGAGAGCAACTTGCTAGGCGGAGGAGGCTTCAGTTATGTGTACAAAGCAATGCTTTTCAATGATAACGTGGCTATCAAGGTATTCAACAGGGACACAGACTAGAAGCAGCTTCCAAGACTTTTGATACTGAATGTAAAACACTGCGAAATGTCCGCCACAGAAATCTCATCAAAATCAGCACAAGTTGTTCCAGTTTTGATTTCAAAGCTTTGATACTCGAATACATGCCTAACGGAAGCCTCGAGAAATGGTTGCACTCTCACAACTGTTTTTTGGACATGCTGCAAAGACTCAACGTAACTGTGGATGTTGCATTAGCATTGGAGTATCTGCATCATGGTTATTCAATGCCGATCATTCATTGTGACATAAAGCCAAGCAATGTTCTTCTTGATGAAGATATGGTTGTGCATGTATCTGATTTTGGCATTTCCAAAATGTTGGGCGTAGGGGCATCTACAGCACGAACCAAGACCCTCGCGACAATCGGGTATACGGCACCAGGTGATCATGTCTATTCTGTTAGCTACAATATTAGTTAATTTTTCACTTTTTCTTTCTTCTTAATTTACACACACACTTATATATCTGTCTAAGAGCAGCTCACAGCAGCTCTTTTAACCGATATTCCCTTCTATATTTCTGTGCAAACATCACCATCCTTGGTGCCTTCAATCCTTCCAAAATCATCATACAAAATACTAAATTTATAAAACATTATCAGTTGGGTATATTTGCTTTTGTTTATATTTAGTTTTTTTTCTATAATTCTTTTTTAAAATTAATAAAGAGCATGGGTCAACGGGTCATCCATCAACAAGTCTTGCCGTGAGATCAAATGTAGAAGGAAACTTCCACAAATGTCGGTTTGTAAATGTTAAAATCCATATTGTTAAAATCGAACTTTATTGTTAAAATCGCCATTCACCAAACAACCTTCGGACGAGCTAGCTGTGTGTTATACATCCATTTCAACCACACATTTGGGCCCAGCGGCATGTTTGCAGCAGCCCAAGGCCCAAGGGTTTCCTCCTTTACTTTTGCATATTTTCATCTGTTTCCAAAACCCTAGCCCTCCAACCGTGCCCCCTTCCTCCTCTTTTTCGTTTGAACTTTTTGCAGCCGCTGCTACTTGGAGCCACAGAGACCACCGAGAGAGAGAACATCCATTGGAGACAACATCAAGTTTCTTCTGGTCCTCTCCTTGGATATTAACTGCACCCTGAACCCCAATCAAGTTGGAAATGCCGGCCCTCTGCAGCAGAGAGACGATCCGTTTGCATTCCAACGAAATGCTAGAGAGCATGTGATCTTAGGTTCAATTGGGGTTGCAGCGGCGCTAATTCTGAGATTTCCTTCCCTCACGTGGTCAATTGGAGTTGAAAAAATGGGAGAGTTGTAGTGGTAGCTGAAGCTCGGGTCTGTGGATCAATTAGAGGAAAACTTGAGGAGTGGGCGAGGCTTCAGCGAAGTGGGTTGCTGCAGGAAGCTATAGGCGTGGGTTTTGTGGTTGCTTAGAGTCCTACCACTTTGCTGTCCTCGTCTTCCTCCTCTTCTCTATCGGCCTTGTCTTTCGCCAAATGAACATCTCGGTCCCCGATGAAGCCTCCTCTTCATCATCCCCCACCTCCTCGTCCTGCTCCTCGAAGGGTTCGCTCTACGTCGAAGGGTTCGCTCTACGATGTGTTCATAAGCTTCAGAGGCGAAGACACACGTAAAAGCTTCATAAGCCACCTCTATAAAGCATTAACAAATGCCGGAGCCCACGCCTTTATTGACGACGAAGAACTAACAAGAGGAGAAAATATAAATACCGACCTAGTGCGGGCAATCCAAGGTTCTAAGATCTCTCTCATCGTCTTCTCAAGCCGGTACGCGGACTCCAGCTGGTGCCTCGATGAGCTGCTTCATATCATGGAGTGTAGAACAACGCTGGGGCAAAAAGTTATACCGATATTCTATGACATTGATCCTTCGGATGTCAGGCACCAGAAAAATAGTTTTCATATATCGTTTCTGAAACATACAGATAAAAAGAATGTAGCGAGATGGAGAGCTGCACTTACTCAAGCTGCAAATTTGTCTGGCTGGGATTCCCGGAAATTTGAGTACGGTCAAAATTTAATTTTAGTGCTTGATATTAATCATCTCATTTATTAATTATATTTAAAGTTTTAATTATTATTTTTATTTCCTTCATCATAATATATTTTGTTGTAAAAGTTTAAATGAACTAATTTTTGTTATGCAATATATCTTGATCAGGTATATTAAATTTAATATAATACATCTCGGTGCATGCATTTTAGTATATATATTTCGGTATGTTAGTTTAATATAATGCATTTCTGTGCATACATTTCGGTACACACATTTAAGTGCATTAATTTAATATAATACATTTTAGTGTATACAATTCAGTTCATACATTTCAGTACATATATTTTAGGTACATTAACTGAGCCTTTCAAGTTTAAAAAATGCTAAATAAAATTAATAAATTAAAAAACTTTTTTCGATAAAAAAATAAATTAAAATGTGTATATTAATAAAATCAAATATTTAATGGGATACGTTGAATAAAATACACAATAATTAATTTGAATTAAGGACATATCAATGGACTATAATCAATATGTAGTTTAACACTAGGTTTTTATAAAATTTCAATTTTTTTCAAGGATTAAAGTTAAAAAGCCCCTCCGAATCTGTGGAACATAAAATAAAATAAAGGAAAACCTTTCCCTTCTTCGGACCATGTTTATACATACAACTGTGAATTCTTAAACCTCTCTTAATAAAATCATACAATAAAGCTATACTGTTAAGGCTACACTAATCACAGCAGGGAAGCCGCCGGCGAATGGCTGCGGTAGGAAGGGGATGCTGGGTTCTGTTTGTTTGTGTTTCTTATTTAAATTTAAATTTTACTTGATGTTTGCTGAGTTTAAACAAAACATCTCAAAAGAAAAATTGTCTTAAATAAAAATCTCTAGTCATGATAAATAATTTTGTGTATTAGTTCATTTTAGTCTTGTAGTTGTATAACAATCTTCGTTTTGCTTCTCAACTCGACTAATGCCAGGGATGACGCAAAGTTGATCAGTATGATTACTATTGGCGTCTGTTTCGAACTGAACAAGACATATTTAGACGTAGCGCCCTACCAAGTCGGAATAGATTCCCGAGTGTTAGATATTAGTAAATATTTAGGCGTTGGAGATTCAGATGGTGTTCGCGTGATTGGAATTTCAGGCATGGGTGGAATAGGAAAAACAACAATTGCCAGAGCTGTTTATAACGAATTTTATGACAAGTTTGAACATAAAAGTTTCCTTGAAAAAGTGAGGGAAAAGGCAGTAGAAAAATTGCAAAAACAACTTCTTTCAGATATCTTGCAAATGACCAAGACAAAGGTAAGCAGTGTCGCTGCAGGTACCGCCTTGGTAGGGGAAAGATTTCGACGCTTAAAGGTACTTGTCATATTTGATGATGTAGACGATGTGAAGCAGCTACGCGAATTAGCTGGAAATCGCCGCTCTTTTGGCCCAGGGAGCAGAATTATCATCACAACAAGAAACAAACATATGCTACAAGAATTTGAAGTTGATAAGATATATCCGGCGAAAGGAATGGAACAAGAAGAAGCTCTTGAGCTCCTAAGTTGGCATGCTTTCGGAAGTAAGTATTGTCCGAGTGGATATCTCAAGCTTGCAAGAGAAGTTGTCGATTACTGTGGAGGACTGCCATTGGCTCTTCAAGTTTTAGGTTCGACCCTGTTCAAAAGAAGCATAGGAGAGTGGAAAAGTACATTGGATAAACTGGAAAAAATTCCTCCTCGAAGAATTCATGAACAGCTGAAAATAAGCTACGACGGGCTAGATGATTACGAGAGGGAGATATTCCGCGATATATCGTGTTTCTTTATTGGGATGGACAAGAATGATGTCATGCAAATCTTGGATGGTTGTGGCTTTTCTGCAACGGCAGGAATCGAGGTCCTCCATGGACGGTGCCTTGTAACTGTTAGTAGAAAAAACAAGCTAATGATGCATGATTTGCTTCGGGACATGGGCAGAGAAATCGTGCGTGCAGAAAATCCCAAGTATCCTGAAAAACGGAGTAGGTTGTGGCGTCCTGAAGATGTAAAAGCTTTATTGATAGACAATTCTGTAAGTACTTTACCAATTGAACTTTATGTTAAATGCGTAAGGAATAGAAGAGAAGCATATATGTGTACGTAAGCAATCGAACTTTTTTGCATGCAAAACCTTCTCATTATTAGAGCCTGTTTTTGGTTAGCAGGGAACTGAAGAAATTGAAGGACTGTCTTTGAATTTGCCGAGTCATGATGAAGAGACTAGTTTCAGCACTGAGGCATTTACAAATATGAAGAGACTGAGATTGCTCCAACTCAAGTACATTCAGCTCACAGGAGAATATCATTGTCTCTCCAAAAAATTAAAATGGTTGTGCTGGCGTGGATTCCCTCTAAAGTTCATACCAAAAGACTTGTGTCAACCAAATATAGTTGCTATTGACATAAGATATAGTAGCCTCAGACAAGTTCTTTGTGAGGCATCCGGGGTAAGTACTAAGTAACCTCAACCAAATTAATATATATTTTTTTTTCCTTCTGGTACCGTGCAAAACATCATGCTCTCTTTATCTTCTTTTTGGTTTTTGATTTTGATTTTTAATTTGGTTTTGTCTAACAGTTGCTTGAAAAGTTGAAGATTCTAAATCTCAGCCATTCTCATGACCTAACACGATCACCGGACTTTTCAAAACTCCCAAATCTTGAGAAATTGATACTCAAAGGTTGTAAGAGATTGTCTAATGTTCACGAATCGATTGGAGATCTGAAGAGTCTATTTTTGGTAAATTTGGAAGGCTGCAAAATGCTTAAGAATCTCCCTAATACTTTTTATAAGCTGGAATCTGCTAAATTTGTTGTTCTTAAAGGTTGTTCAGAATTCAAAAACTTGTCTGAGGACTTAGGAAAAATGTCATCCTTGACAACTCTTGTTGCAGATGAGACGGCCATAACAGAAGTACCATCGTCCATCGCACGACTGGGGAACCTTCAGTCCTTATCTCTGCGTAACATGAGGTCGTCTTTGAAGTTACCTCCTTCGTTAATGGGCATGCACGCATTAAGAGAATTAGATCTTAGTGGCGGCAATTTAAAGGAAATTCCTAACGATATCAGGAGTCTATCTTCTTTGGTATCATTACTTCTGGACCGCAATGGTTTCCATAGCCTTCCAAGCTTCAGTAGCCTCTCCAGGCTTCTAAGACTAAGCCTGAATGGTTGCGAAGACCTGGTTGAAATCACTGATGATTTACCACCAAATTTGAGTCTCTTGAGTATGAATGACTGCACTGCACTAGAAAGAATGCCAAATTTATCAGGATGGCCGAGAGTTGTGGCTCTAGATGGTTCCTCCAATCTCATTGAGTTTCAGGGCTTGGACAGGGCGTTAAACACGGGTATGATACTTGGCATGCGAGCGCACAACAGAATCTCTGAATTCCTATTCAAGGATAGCACACTACAGGTTCTCTCTCTCTCTCTCTCTCTCTCTCTCTCTCTCTCTCTCTCTCTCTCTCTCTCTTAACGTCATATACCTTATACAAATCTTGTTGAACATGCTATAGGGATGGACTGGTACTGGATATATTTATCTTCGAGCAAATCATATTCCGACTTGGTTCAATATCGTCAACAAGAAGGGTGACCGAGTCTATTTTCAAGTGCCTCATGAAATCGGTTATAAGTTAAAAGCGTTGGCCGTGTGCTTCTCTTGTCGTCCTCATAAGTTGAACTCTCCTTTGACATATTCCATTTCTGTTATCAATCATACCAAGTGCACTTGCATTCATGCCGATGTATCCGATTTCTATCCGCCTGCTCGCTTGGAAGAATACCTTTGGATGGGACATTTCTCAAACGACGACTTCAAATTGGAGGGCGGCGACTCCGTCCATGTTATTGTACAAGCCCGAGACACTGAGACTGGGTTCATCAGGGTGGAGAAAACAGGGGTACGTCTAGTATCTGACAAACGTATCAACTTCAGCTTTTCGTCTATTCATTACGGTTCCATCTCTTATGATGAGGCCATCAACAAATTTTATGATGATGATCATGATCATGCCGATCATGACAATGACGACGATCATGCCGATCATGACGATGACGATGATGATGATTGATCATGATGATGATGACGACAAGGACGACGCTGACGATCATTTATCATAGACCATTAGAGATTGAGGTTTGATACCTGTATTTGACTACAGAGACGGCTCAGCTTTCACCTAGTGTGGTTATATAATTTCTTTAAAAATGCATTCACTTAGTGTGGTTAATACCTTTTTATTTTCAACTGTTGTGGTGGTGGTTAATTTCTATCATCAATGCATTTTTAAGTTTTGGAAAAGCAATTTAAAAAAGAAATACTTGAGACATGTCTTCAATGAGCGAGCATATGGGGGCTGGAAGTGGTCGTTTAACACTTGAGATATGACTTTCATATGTCTCATTGTTGTCATTTAGGGATCATGAGTGGTCGTTTAACATTTTATTTTTAATTTATACTTTTTGTACTTGAAATATTCCAACGAGCATTTATTGTTTCACCCAAGATCCTGTGCCACCCCGAATATCGCTTGTATCAACAAAAACAATGCTGAGTTTCAATTTTGCTCGGCAGCGCTCGATAAAACATACCGAATTCATCCATCCAGAAAATGACGAAAAGAAATTGTATAAACTTATGACTTATTATTGAAACAACAGTGATCTTATTAAGGTTCTACATATCAAGTCCCACAAGCTGCATTTTGTGATTTCTCTTTAAACAAATAAAACACGCCATGTTTTATTCAAAATTAGGAATCAATGCTCGTTATAAAGACCTCAATTTGCCATCACACTTACAGCTCGAAGCAAGTGTAATTATAGCTTTAACTTCCAAGTAATATAAGGACTCATTTGGATGTGTTTTTAAAATAACTGAAAGCGTTTTTTATGCAAGTAAATCCTGGAAGCGCTTTAGATGTCCTTTTAAAATAACTGAAAGCGCTTTTGATGCAAGTAAATCCTGGAAAAGCACTTAAAGTGCTTCCTGAAAAACCACATAATTGGTGCTTCTTGCAGAAAGCACATAAAGTGTTTTGGAACCCAAAAATATTTTCTCTAAAAGCGCTTTCAGCCATTTTAAAAGAACATCTAAACAAGCCCTAAAGCTTTTACTTTTGAAGACCAGCACCACCTTTTCAGTTTGTTGGTGAAGATAATGTCTATATCGCCTCTGTGTAGTGGCGTAACCAGGATTTTTACACAATGGGGTCATAATATTAATCAAAAAACCTTTATAGGGCCATTTTGTCTAGTACCTAGTAGGCATTTGCCAATCCTTATTAACATAAGTTATGCCAACATATGTCGACATCTATTATTATTTGTAGAGGTTTGTCGAGGGTGGATGCAGAATATTGTGAAGTAATGTTGGCGACTACCGAGACTTTTTTAACTAAAGTATTCATACAAGAGAGAATAGGATGACAAATATAATGGAAGAAAATAGAAGTAGGAGGAGGAAGTTGTAATTTAGTTTGTCTTAACTGTTTATAGGAGTCAAATACAATATACAAGCAAATATACATGGAGATTTTGAAGTTGTTGGGATCAAGGACAACCAATGACGCCATGCTGACTTTGTCATTGCCTCTGTGGCTGTTATTCGGGCTCTAGCGCATTTCAGAGAAGGCCTCTTATTCTCTTGTAGCCGCTCACTGTTAAGTGTCAGTGCATGCCTCTGCCCGTCATTCTTTGGGACTCGACACCCAACTGTTGCTTCTATTCGCTGTTTTCTTGTCAGGAACCCTTCCTGAGCTCCTTGTGGCACGCCAAACTTTTGAAGAGCGGCCATTGACATTGGCAGCTCAAAATTGTGCCTTAGATTTGACTCTATTCCAAAATCAAGAGGAACACTCATATCAATCAACTTCCCCGCACCAGCTGTAGCTTCCAGAGCCGCCGCAGTAGCTGCCATACATGCCCATACTGCTCCCACCACTGCTGTTCCGTTACTTTCTATATCTGCCAAGGCTTCATCAGCCTCAGCAATTGCATCTGCCTCTCCTTTTTGTTCACCGGTCTTTGACACAGTAATTCCTTGACCTAGTCAATCTTCTTGAAAAAGGATCATAATTGGCCTCCCTCCGCTTTCAAACCTATATTCTTAGGTTTTAATTCTTTTTGCAACCCTGTTTTTTCTGTTCATCTCAGCAAGCCTAATAGCCATGCTATCTTTCCCCTGTGATTGTCGGCTTGCTAATTGCTGCAATCTTGCCTGAATCCTCTCCACCTCTGCATCATCTTGCTTACTTTTTGCAACTTCTAACTCCCTCCTCAACCGGTTCTTCTCAAGCGCAATGTTTAATGGCCTTGACGAAACAGACTTTTTCTCCTGTATCATCTGCTTCACGGTTACGGCTGAGTTCACAAATGAGTTCTTTTTTTTTTTTATAGCATCATCCTTTTCCAACACATCCTCTTTGCTTGGCAACTGGCCACCACTTCTCTCCACCTCTATAACCCACTGTTTAAATTCCTCCTCCAGCGGCGCGTAGTCGGAAATCATAGCCATCTGCCACCTGCAGCAGAGTTCTCATTGCCCCAAACAACATTTAGGTACTTATGTGTGGTTTTGTTCTCTAGTTCGTACTGTCGATCAGGATCTGAAGCATCAACATTCCAGACCATGCAGAGCCTGTAGATAGGCCCAGATTTTGAGCTCCCAATTCCAACCCTCACAAAGCAACACACAATTAACTCTTCAAAGAACGGATTCATAAACCACTTTGCAAGTTTGACCTTCGAATGGTAATCTCCATTATATCATCAAAAGTTAGTCCCTCTGACCTTTCATCGTCACTGTCAATCATTGCGTCATCCCCTGATGATCCTTCATCTTCACTGCGAGACCTACTATCACTGTCACTCTGACTAGAGCTACTCCGACCCACTGTATTCAGGTGTGAGAAATTTCGATAGCTTGAACTTTCTCCTCCAGAAGCATCTTTCAACTTGCGGTGAGCCTCAGGGTATTGCTTCTTCAAACGTCTTGCTCGTAACTCATTCAATGCATCACCCTTGGCAGCTGCCCTGTTAGCAAATCTAGCTGATGAACGAAACTGAGAGTATGGAAGGAGAAATTCCAAAAAGGGGTCCAACTTTGCAGCTGAAGCCTTTATGATTAACAAAGCACTATATGGCACTGCTAGATTGAATGTCCCAGCCTGCACTAGAAAACCTGCAAAGCAAGGAGAGGTCAGTTGCGTGTATTGAAGATTGTACTGCCAACAACTGTGTCAATAATGCTGCTACTAGTTTGTGTACTTGCAAGGAAAAAAATATCATAGGAAGGCAAAGCAAAGTACTAAATCCAGAGGATGCATCATCCGTTTTCCTACCACAAACTTCTTCTTGCCAGGAATTTTTTCGATGAGAGCAACTTGCTAGGCGGAGGAGGCTTCAGTTATGTGTACAAAGCAATACTTTTCAATGATAACGTGGCTATCAAGGTATTCAACATGGACACAGAGCAGAAACAGCTTCCAAGACTTTTGATACTGAATGTAAAACACTGCGAAATGTCTGCCACAGAAATCTCATCAAAATCAGCACAAGTTGTTCCAGTTTTGATTTCAAAGCTTTGATACTCGAATACATGCCTAACGGAAGCCTCGAGAAATGGTTGCACTCTCACAACTGTTTTTTGGACATGCTGCTAAGACTCAACGTAACTGTGGATGTTGCATTAGCGTTGGAGTATCTGCATCATGGTTATTCAATGCCGATCGTTCATTGTGACATAAAGCCAAGCAATGTTCTTCTTGATGAAGATATGGTTGCGCATGTATCTGATTTTGGCATTTCCAAAATCTTGGGCGTAGGGGCATCTACAGCACGAACCAAGACCCTCGTGACAATCGGGTATACGACACCGGGTGATCATGTCTATTCTGTTAGCTACAATATTAGTTAATTTTTCACTTTTTCTTTCTTCTTAATTTACACACACACCTATATATCTGTCTAGGAGCAGCTCACAGCAGCTCTTTTAACCGATATTCCCTTCTATATTTCTGTGCAAACATTACCATCCTTGGTGCCTTCAATCCTTCCAAAATCATCATACAAAATACTAAATTTATAAAACATTATCAGTTGGGTATTTTTGCTTTTGTTTATATTTAGTTTTTTTTTTTCTACAATTCTTTTTTAAAATTAATAAAGAGCATGGGTCAACGGGTCATCCATCAACAAGTCTTGCCGTGAGATCAAATGTAGAAGGAAAACTTCCACAAATGTCAGTTTGTAAATGTTAAAATCCATATTGTTAAAATCGAACTTTATTGTTAAAATCGCCATTCACCAAACAACCTTCGGACGAGCTAGCTGTGTGTTATATATCCATTTCAATTATCCTAAAGAAAATCAAAGAAATGGATAACTGGCGGAAATTAGTGGCGCTGTCAATCATGGTGCTGGTATGTGGTTGCTTAGAGTCCTACCACTTTGCTGTCCTCATCTTCCTCCTCTTCTCCATCGGCCTTGTCTTTCGCCAAATGAACATCTCAGTCCCCGATGAAGCCTCCTCTTCATCATCCTCCGCCTCCTTGTCCTCCTCCTCATCTTTCTCCTTCTTGAAAGGTTCACTCTACGAAGTGTTCATAAGCTTCAGAGGTGAAGACACACGTAAAAACTTCACGGGCCACCTCCATGAAGCATTAACAAAGGCTGGAATCAACGCCTTTATTGACAACGAAGAATTGAGAAGAGGAGAAGATATAACTATAGAACTTGTGCGGGCAATTCAGGGTTCTAGGATCTCTATCATTGTCTTCTCAAGACGGTACGCAGACTCCAGCTGGTGCCTCGAGGAGCTGGTTAAGATCATGGAGTGTAAAACAACGCTGGGGCAATTAGTTTTGCCGATATTCTATGACGTTGATCCTTCGCATGTCAGGAAACAGACTGGTAGTTTTGCACAATCGTTTCTGAAACATACAGATGAAAAGAAGGCAGGAAGGTGGAGGACTGCTCTTACTGAAGCTTCGAATTTGTCTGGCTGGGATCTCAATAACACTTTGGACGGGTACTTACTAATTTCTCTTTCATTTTATTTTACATAATTTATTCACCATCCTGTACTATTATGTACTGTTTTTCAATATTAGGCCTCTTTAATTATGAATGTTTGAGAAGTTCAACAAAATTAAGGGCAATGAAAGATTTGATTCAGCCAAACTTCGTGAGCGCAGCTTAAATTAGTTAACATATATTTTGCCTTGAAAATCCATAGTACTTGTGATTAATAATATGCTTTAGTTTTATTATTTAGTCTTGTAGTTGTATAACAATCTTAGTTTTCCTTCTCAACTTGACTAATGCCAGGAATGAAGCAAAGTTTATCCGGATGATTACTAATGAAGTCAGTACGAAGCTGAACAACACATACTTAAATGTAGTGAAATACCAAGTAGGAATAGAATCTCGAGTTAAAG